GGAAAGAGGCCCTTGGGTACCGTACATTGTTGCTTAGGAACGCAGTGAGAGTGGAGTACGAATTCCTGTAAATTGTGAATCACATTTCACAAAAGAAACATCTGATAACAGCGTAGTACTAGGACCGAAACCAAAGCAAAATAGAAGCGTTTCTTTTTCTCAAAGGCTGAAGGTGGGGGAGGGGTGGGGTGGGGAGTCTCTAGTCTGCTTCAAAACGTACTTGTATCTTTCTGTGTACAAGAGAGGTTTGTTTAAGACACTTCTTCAAACTTCCATGTTCTAATTAGAGCAAGCTTTGACTGTCTTTTCCTTAAAACACTTTAATGAAATTCTTTAAAAACTGTAGACTAGCGTTCATTAAGTCTACTCAATGTGCATAAACAGTGTTTTGTGAGTTACTATTTAAAAAGGGAACTCCCCCCACCTTTCAGTTCTGTTAATCCTGTATTAGTTATTTTTTAAATTATCTGCATTTGGCCCCTTATTTACATCAGCCTGATGCACACATGAACAACCATATGGCTAGAAATAACTTTAAGATCAGACTGAAGCACACGTAAAACAGCATACTTGTCTTTTCTTTCTAAGCCCAGGACCTTGCACTGGGGCTCCTGGTTCCTCTGTGTTCATTAACACACAGAAAGCCCTGGCCTGGGATTTATGCAGCCTGGGGTTATCTTTCCTTCACATGTGCTCAACCTTATCCAGGGTCTGGCCCACGTGAAACTTGCCATCTTGTCTGTCGGACACTCGGTCCTTGAGCAATTTTTCACCTGCTTAGATGAGTGCATGTGTTTGAACTAACTGAACTGAGAATGAAAGGCAAACTTCATAGGGAGCTGAAGTCACTGAGTGGTCTCTATACACAGCCAGGGGCCAGGGTGACCAGATTGAAAGGTCACTGCCATACCTGAAAAGAGTAATATCACATTACCTTAAAAAGGTTTAGCAGAACCGTTGACTCTCAAACCTCTAGGGGGGAAAAAACCTTCCAAGTTGTACACGACAAAGACAGTGTTGTTTCCTTGTACAAATGCACTCCTTTGCTAACCTGCTACGAAGACACAGTCAGTTTCCTTAAAGCCACTGAGGTAGTGCACCATGTGGGAGACACCCCTACTGTAACGCATTCAAAGAGCCACCCATGCCGTTTCTTGTGTGGATTTATCATCCTTCCAAGACACAGAACAGGACAAGGACAAGAAGGAGAGCTTAAAAAGGACAAGAATTTGGCTTGCCTTTTCTCCCTTTCTCTGTGGATTTCTGTTATGTGCTAGGTGTGTGTGTCCTGTGGAGCTGAAACAATGCGACATGTACCAGTTCAACCAAGGGTTGTTAAAATGAGCAATCTGCTAATTTTTGAAAACACAACTAAAAGACTAGGGCATGCAAAAGAAATGTTTTCAGTAGATGCTAAATAGCAACAAAACCTCCAACACATAAGAGAGAATTGAGTGAACTAAAAACTTGTATGAAGTTCCAGAAGCATACATAATCACTCAACAGCACATGACCAAAAACTCTAAGACATTGTTTTCTTTTTCTACAAAATAAATTATTGAAAGTGGTCACGGGATTTCTAGCAGGCAGAGATACACAGTTTCCCAAGGAAAAGTTCATCAGGGGATGTATTATTTAAGACTGGATCATCATAATGCTATTTTTAATCCTATCATTTTGCTGCCAAAACTGGCCATGGCAGCTGCCACGGGCCACTAGAAAAATGATGCTTTTTCTTGTAGCTCATCCACTGTCATGAGAATGGTAACGCTTTCCAGTTAGTCAAATGTTTTGGTGGGTGTGAACTGTATTCAGAAAGGGGGAACTACTTGCTAACTACCTAATAAAAAGGAAGCTGGCCTCTACTGGGTACATAGAAATGAGTTTCCCTTTAGTTGAAGAAGAAAAGCCATTTCACTTCATCGAGGTCTAAAATGCCAGTACAAACTCATAGCCATCATGAGAAACATTCTTGAGAGGAGTAGAATTGTGGCTACTTAATGTTTCTCTCTGATTCTTCTGGAGGTCAGATTGCTGTAGTACACATCTGGGAAACACAATTCCAGGCAACGCTCTAACCTGGAGGCCACCAGAAAGAGGTCTACAGAATCTGTCACAGGATGATCCTTCAAAATATGAAGAAACAAACAACAAAAAAAAACCACCCACATCCAGAAAGAATCAAGCATGGTATCCAGCAGATCTGAATTTAATGCACAGAGAAACCAAAGACTCTGCCTCAGTGGCACTAGAGTGAAGGCTGAGTCTCTGTCTGAGAAGGTCCCAGGTGACTGATCTGTGGGGTCTCAGACATTTTCTAGGAGTGCTGCTGTCTCCCTATTCTAGCTTTCCTGCCTTTCTCTGGACAGCACACAAGCCCTTATGCAGGCCTAGGGATAAGCCATACTCTGCCTTATACCCAATTATTTCTTTATTCTTTGTTAAATTTGCAGGTTCTGGGACCCTCCATTAGGAGCTGGCCATTCCAAGGACAGTTTCCTCTGTAATAAGACATGGAACACAGTCTTCCCCAGGCTTGGAGTACTCTGCCTTTGAAGCAGAAGACAAGAGTGATTTCAAGTTTAAAGCTCCAAATGTCCTGTATAGTTCTATAGATAAGCTGCTCCACTGACCACGGGAAATTATTCCCACCATTTACGTCATTTTCTCACATCAAGAAAATAAGCTCTCTGCTGAAACTTATCTCTGTTATTAAAAGTCACTGTAATGTGCAACATACTAGAGATACTATCCTGACTAACACAAAGTTAAAGGGGAATCTACACACCAAATGCCTAAAACAAAAATTTAAATTAATATGACATATTTGAAACCACAGGCTGATAGACCAATCACTAAGAACTCTCAAATACTACCACTTTGATTCCAAAGTGTTCACATATGATTCTACTTTATGATACATACTCTTTTCTTGCCAGTTCCTTTCTTTTCCTGCACAATCTTCCATTTATGTGCTGTTCTGAAAACTATTAGACAATTTTTTTATTTACCATCAGCCATTTGTGGTTCTCCATGACTTATGGTTTTTATCATCTCTTCCAACGTGCCATTGCGGTTCAGCTTCATAGCATGAAGCTTGTGCCTCTATCAACCTCAGATACCTGCTGACCACAAAGATAGGCCCTGCAACAAAAACTTGATGACGAGCACAAGAAAAAGAGACGCCTCATTTAAAAAGAAACCTCAGTGGTCTGCCTTGTCAACATACTGCAACCCTACAACAGAGGTCACGCTGTATCTGACATTCCATCAGAAACACATGGTCCCATTTCCCACATTTTTATTAACCTGATAGTGAATACCACACACTGACTGCCTTGCATTTCCTTCAAGTAGAGGGAAACAAACTTTTATTTTTTTTCACATAAATATGAAATAATAAAGCTATTTTACTTTGGCTTTAAAATGATTCTTCTGGAGCCTAAAGTCCCTACCTCTGAATAAAGTGGTCAAAAAAAAATCAGCCCACCTACTTAACTGAACAACTAACAAAATTAGTTTCCATCCTTCAGCCAATTCTCCCAGCATCGCTAACCATCTGATCATGTGGGATGTTAGCAAACAAGCAATTCACAAGGAGCATGTGAATTTCAGGCATCTAAGCTTGGGCATTAGAGTTAATTTTATTTTTAAACCTTGAATAGTGCCATCAATATTTTGTCAACTTTGGCCAAATAAGATCAGATGTTCACATCAATCATCTATTTTTCTTGGCTTTTTCGTTTTGGGACCCATAAATATTAGATTTATAAATAAAGATTGCAAGCATCTTGCAAACTGTAGTAAAAACAATGTGTTTCTAGAAATTTGATTCACGTGTGGTCAATTACAGACCTTTTGTTCTTGTTAGGTGCTATAAAAAAATTAGTCATTCTCTTGAGACTATCCAAAGCATGACTAAAATAAAAGCCCCTTTCATTAAAACAAAGTCTTTAAAATGTCAGACAACAATTATTGCTTTTTTATAACTTAATTATTTTAGGTATAACAAGCCTTGAGTCTGCTCCCCACCCCCAAAAAAGCAAGAAAAGCTGAAATCTCACGGTAAAATAATGGAAATTTGATCTCCCGAGATATCAGAAAACTATCACCCCATAGATGCTCATCTAAACTATGGATACTAGTTTCATTTCAACTTAATCTGGGCTGGATACTCTACAGCTACGCGTTACTATTCCTTTCGCAGATACCCTAGATGCAAGTCCATTCAGCAGAGGAGATCACAAAATAATGTAGACTGTAGGTAGAGATAAGTAGAGGACATTGAAGTGGATGTAAACCTCTGAATCTTGTGTGAGTTACGAACACAGTCAGGCGCCTCTGCAAACTCACAATGGAACAGAGCATGCACACCCTGTTCTTCAGGATGTACACACACAGCATGCCCACTAGGACTAAGGCACAGACTAGAGTCCACAAATATCCACGAATGCCAGCTTGCCTTTTTACAAGCTTAGCTATGATTTTCAGGAAAGGGGGCTGTATTATTTTTCTTTGGGAGAATGTTCCCAAGTGAGTCAGAAAAGGTATGCCTGCGTCCTCTGGTGGAGCCTGTTTGTCTAGTTGGACCTTCTCAGTTATTAGTCCAACAGTGTAGCTAAAGAAGCAAAGAAAGCTGGAGGTCTGGTTCCTACCCAGGAACCAGAACATCTGCAACAAACTACTCAGACTTCAAGTAACTCTAGGACTCACTGGAGGTATACCATTTATCTCCAAATCCTACTGGATCAAAAATGCTGGACCTTTGCTCTTTTACAGCCTGCAGGCAGGAGCTAGCACAGTATTGGCAGGATGTGATCTGGCCAGAGAAAGGAACTGGGGCGGGGAGCAAAGTTATAAACTGTTTTTTTGTTTGTTAGTTTGTTTTTAATTCGTTGGTTCATGGCTCATTTTGACCCAGGATCCACTAACTCCCCAGCCTCTCTGCATCTCGGCTTTGAGAGCAAAGCCCAGACTCATTCAGTCAGACATGCACCTACCCAGCCTCCGTTATCCTGGATCCAGGTGTGCAGATGCCGGTTCAGGTACTCAGTCATCCACAGGGCGATGTTGTCCACCAGGGGTGACATCTCCCTGTTGACGCTCTCCACACACATGACCCCACCGAACTCAAAGAAGGCCACAATCCTCCCCCAGTTCACCCCGTCCCTGAAGAGTTCCTCCACCACCGTAGCAAAGCGTCCCCTCGCGGTGAAGGGCGTCAGATGCAGCTGACTGGACATCTCTGCGAAGTCGCGACGGTAGCGACGGGAGAAGTCATCCCCAGCCCGGCGGAGGGTCAGGTGGACCACAGGTGGCACGGGGCTGAGGGCAGGCCCAGCGGTGGCGACTATGGGCCTTAGTGGCGACGTCCTGGCAGTCGTGTCCCGGTGTACAGCGGGCGTTGGGTTGCTCTCAAGCTGGAAGGAGAAGATGCCAGGGGTGGGGGCGGCGCCCAGGGGCGCGGCGTCCGCATCTCCGGCATCCCACTCGTAGCCCCTCTGCGACAGCTTATAATGGATGTACTTCATCACGATCTCCCGGTTATCATACCCTGTTCTCCCGGCTTGCGCCATCCTTCCCCCCCACCAAAAAGGGCTGCAGGTACCAAAAACACGTCTCGTCCTGACTCCCGCCCCACGGCCCCAAAAGAAAAAATAGTTATAATCCAGTTCTTTTATTGGATGTGTTTTTGCATTCCTGGATGAGGGGGTGTCTTCAGTTACGCGGAACACTTGATTCTGGTGTTTCCCCCTTGGCATGAGATGCAGGAAATTTTTATTCAAATTCCTTTCGGTTCTTTATTTCACGAGGCACATTATTTATTAAGCTTTGTTAATATCAGTCTACTTACTCCGCAATGCTGAAAGGTGAGGGGCGGGACGACTTAGCAAGTTAAAATCAGGTGTGTTCTTTATATACTCAGGGGAGGAAGGGCATATCCGCTACAAGTTACATGCTAAAGAGACTGCATTAAACTGTCTGGAAATTAAGTTTGCTCGAATTCATTTAAAGTAAGAAAAAATCAAACGCGTCCGTTGAAAGTTACACTAAACCAAATTCCTGTGCAAAAAAACTTACTGTATTTTTAAGGACAGCATGATCTTCTGTCAAGTTTCCCCCTCTTTTTTTTTCTTTTGGTAAAACCCAAACAAATGTATAAGGCAACGACACCATCGATCTTCAGAAGTCTCCTTGTATAAGCTTCTTTAAAACTTGCAATGAATCAGGGGTTGGGGGAGAGCTAGGTAGAGTAAAAATCAGGAGGGTTTCCAGATTGCGTTCCACGGTTTGGCTTCACTGAAAATGTCAATTCGTAGGAATCCCAATTGGAGATCTCAAGAGCACGACAGAGGGGCCAAAAAGTCAGCGGCGGCGGCAGCGGCAGATGAATTCTAATTTTCAGTCCAGCATTTGCAGAAGTCCTGTGATTTCCCTCGCTTCTTCTCGGCGATTTACACTCGCACACACACACGCTCCAGCGCAGGCATGGAACGGTATCCACCGGATTGCTTCAGCCCTCCACGGCAGAGAGACACGCGAGGGGGACGATGGAAGAGCGGAGGGGGAACAGGGACAAGAATCCTCTTCTGATTAAACTCCGAAAGGCCAATGCGTTTTCCGAAAAAATGGGGGGGGGGGGAGCAGCTTGATAAAAGGCAGGCAGGGACGCGCCGGGGCTGCCGGTGCGGAGCGAGCAGCCCGCGCGCTGTGTGTGGTGCGCTGCGGGAGAAGAAGGTGGTGGGGGAGGGTTTAGCCCCCCCTCTTTTTCCTAAAAAGGATGACTGCTACGAAGTTCCCCCCCCGGCCCCCTCTTCCGCTGCACCCCACCGGCGCACCCCGCCTCCGGGCTGCGCACCCTTTCTCCTCCTGGGTTCCGTGCGGTGCTGGCGGCCGCGTCCTCTCGCTCACGCGGCGCAGCCGGCTCGGCGTTGACGGCTGCGGCCGGGGAGGGCCCGGGCACCTCGGTGGCGGCGGCGGCGGCTCGGCGGGGACCCGGACGCTGGGCGGGAGGGCGGTCCGGGGAGGAAGGGGGCGGGCGCGGGGCCGGGGGCCCGGCCTCTTACTTCATTCTCCGCCGGAGCGCCTGGTTTCCTGTAGTACGTCATGTTCATTCAAAAAAAAGAAGAAAGAAAGAGCCCTCCTCTGAGCGCCCGCCCGCCGCCTCCGCCCGCCCGCCCGCCCGCCCGCCTCCCGGGTTAAAGGCGCCGCGGCCGCCCGGGGGAGCGCGCGCCGGGCCACGGACACTGGCCTGGGTGGCGGCCACCCGCGGGCTACGCTGGGCTCGGGACGGTGGGTGGCGCGGGCCTCCCGGGCTGCCGCTGCTCGGTGGGTGTGCGAGGGGCCTCCTCGGGCCTGCAGGACTGGCTGCTGGGTGGGTGGGCGCGCCCATAGCGAGGGCCGGGCAAGTGGCAAGTCGCGTGGACCCTTTTTAACCGGGTGTGGGGTGTGCACAATTGCACGGATCTTTTCTAACGTGGACTGTATGCACAATTGCATGGACCTTTTCTGTGGAATGTGTGCAGTCACATGGACCTTTTCTAACCGCGTGCATGGGGTATGCACAATTCAATGGACCCTTTTTAACTGCACGTGTATTGTGTGTGTGTGTGTGCGACACACACACACACACACAAATTGCTTGGACCGTCTGTAACTGCATGTGTACACAGTCACATGTTCCGTTTCTGTGTATGGTTGAGTGTACAGTCCCACGGACCTTTTCTGTATGCACAGTCCCAGGAATCCTTTCTAATCACGTGTGTAGGGTGTGCACAATCAAATAGACCTAACTGCACGTGTAGTATGTAAATAGTCACATGGACCTTTTCTGTGTGTAGTTGTGCATAGTGACATGGCCCCTTTCTGTGTGTGATGGGTATGCACAGAGTCCCACAGACCTTTTCTGTGTATACTGTGTGCACAGTTGAATGGACCGTTTCTAACGGCACAAGCACTGTGAACATTGCATGGACCCTTTCAAACGTGTGTGTGTGTGTGTGTGTGTGTGTGTGTGTGTGTGGTGTGTGCACAATTCCAACTCCAAGCATGTGTGCAGTGTATAATCACATGGCCCCTTTAAACTATGTGTAGTGTGTACAACCACATGCAGTGAGTGTATAAAATCATACAGATCCTCAGCTAAGCATGTGTGCAGTGTACACAAACAAAAACACTATGTTATCAGCTCTCAGTGGCCAGAGAGATTACTGACTCCAGAACAGTGGTACCAATGTGCTGCCCTTGGATGAAGAGAAGTGACTCCCAGTGCAGCCTCCCATATATTAATTGCAAATGAAATAATCAGAATAATCAAAGTTAGAATGCTTGTTTGTTAGGGCTTCAGTGTGCAGACACCATTAGCAATGTAACTTAGAACAGGTTCGGGTATTCCTCCTCTGGTTTGGCGGGTAGAAGTCCAGAGCAGCAAGGCATGCTCCTCTTGTCTCCCAGCCTGCTGGTGGCTGATGGTCATTGATGTTCCTTGGCTTGTTGAAGAATAGCCAAGGAAAATCCCAAGTGGTATGTCTGGTGTTGTGGAAGTGTCCAAACAGAACACCTCATGAGCACCCAGACCCTTTTAAACTGCATCTCTGCAAACCCATCTTGGTGACCAAGGACAGACCTACTCTCAGTGGACCAGTGAAGAGCAGCATGCATTGAGAGCTTTAAAATAATTCAGTAACAGATTTTCCTCTGCCCCCAACAGTCCCAGCAGTGTGTGGAGGCTGTTCCCCCCAGGAGTGCTATCCATCTTTCAAGCCCATGACCCTAACACGGGGCAGCCAACATGAGATGGCCTCACCCCCAGAAGATACTGGCATGAGCAGTGGAGAGAAGAGACCAAGCGCATAAATAAGTAAAGCACCAAAAAAAAAAAAAAAAAAAAAAACCAACTGCTCACTCACAGCTCTGCAGACCGATGCACAGGGCTCAAGGACCAACAGTATGTAAAGGGTGGACAGACGCCACAGGTTTGCTGGGTCATTGTTACATAAACAAGGCAGATGGCTCCTATGAGGTCTAGAAACACATTCATCTTTTCCTCCTTCCAAGTCTAAAAGATTCAGTTGGTTACTACATTTGTGTGTGTGTGTGTGTGTGTGTGTACATATATGAGGTGGTGGGGAGTACATGCCACTGCATACATGAAGGTCAGAGGGCAACACTGTGGAGTCTGTTGCCCCTTCCCGACTGTATTTATTTGAGGCAAGGGCTCATACGGCCCAGGTGGGCCTTGAATTTGCTATGTAACAAAGGATACACTTGAACTTAATGATTTTCCTGCCTTCACCTCCAGAATGCTAGGATTATAGGCATGCACAATGACCCACTTGTGTGTTGTTGGAATTAAAATTAGGGCTTTATGCACACTAGGTAAACACTATATCAACTGAGCTACATCCTCAGGCCCCAAAGGGTGTGTGTGCGCGCGCGAGTACATGCATGTTTGCGTGTGTGTGTGTGTGTGTGTGTGTGTGTGTGTGTGCATTTTATATATAAGCACATCACAGTTTTTGGGGGTTCACCCTGCTGGCCTCCAGGCCATACTCTGTCCTGCGAAAATAGGTGCCCTCATACAAGTCTGTTTCCACTCCTTCGTAGCTTTCTGATGTCGCTGACACTGCTGGAGAGAGGTGACCTCCACTGGAGGAAGGCACTGAGGTATATTTTCTCATAGGAATAGTACAAACAGTTTAGGGAGTCTCATGTCTTAACCCCCCTGAAATCACTTAAGAGGAATTGAAAGCTTTTGCACTTTTAATACCCAGCACTGGAGTGAGGAAACGAGAGGACAAGGCAGGGGGTGGGGGTGCGGGTTGTACTTCTGCAAAGGGGACAAAAGGATTTCCTATTCCCAGAGAAAGAAATGCCCCTGACCTTCGCCTAGCAGTTTTCCCAGACTGGCCTTGACCAGCTGCCTGGGGACAAGTGACTGAGACCTTCTGGACAAATGTATCATGGCCTTTTCACTTCACAAGGTGGCTTCCTACCTCCTAGGAGTTCAGGGACCAACCTTCGCCATGTCTGTCTGGTTGCATGCCACCAGAAGGAAAAACGGTGGGAATCAGAGAATGGGGCTGTGGCAAGCATCTGAAGGGCCTGTTTTCCTTCTTCAGTCTCTGCTCACCAGAAAGCTGTCACTGCAGGGCTCGCCACCTGCTGGTTGGTGCCTCACAGTATAATTCAGGAAGTTCTTTTGAGGATCAATGTGAAAGTTCCTCAAGTTTATGAAATTGAAAAAGAATATTCTAGAATGAGCAAAACATCGATTAAAGTAAGTCTATATCAGATCTTTCTAGCTATGGAACTTTCAACTGAAAATGAGGGGAGAAACCCTTTACTGAGGAAAAAAAAGTAACAGAAAGATAACTTTAAGTAAAAATATTTGGGTTATTTCAGGTTAAAAACTGTAACCACAAATGGAGTAGAAATAAATCTGTAAACAAAATGAATGAATGAAGGCAACAGAGACAGAGATTGACTGGTATTCCATAAAACCTAAATAAAATGAAACAATCACTGGCTTTCAATTTCATAGGTACATGCATCGTGGACTCATGTGCAGAGCAGTGTGTACAAGCACTGCATGCGCTCCAGTTGTGGTGTTTCTAGTACATTCCGGCTCAGACCTTTGTTCCCATGAAGAAAGCGTGTGTTCTGCACCGTCCAGCCATTCTTGTAATTGAGAAACACTTTCACCAGATCTAAACAAATTAAACTTAACCCAGAAACCCACCTCACTAGTTATGGTGGATCCTAAGCCTCAAAAAGACAACATAACAAGAAGCCACAACCTCTCCAACTAGACATGGACTAGAAATAAGTCACAGTGGAGTGCAAATTTAACAATGGCTTGTCCTTGGTGAGGCTCTGGGTTCAGATCCAGCTCCAGAGCAGCAATGCAGACATGGATAAACGGTTCTCACTTTTACCCATTTTTTTCCCCTGCCTTTCAAATGAACAGCTTTGCATGTGAGGTGAAGTCGGCCAAGGGGAGGAATTTGTCTGACTCTTTTCAAAGCCAGCTCGTTTGATAGAAACTGCAGGGGGTGAACAAACAAGTGGGAAGTCACCATCCACACCAAAGGAGTAGAAGTATTTACATTCCTCTATGCAATAACTAACTACACTCTTGCTATTTAGTGGAGCAATGTCTCCGGGATATTAATTGTAAGTGAAATAATCAGAATAATCAACGTTAGAATGCTTGTTCCGCAGGGTTTCTGTGTCCAGTGTAACTTGGAACAGGTTCGAGTACTCGTCCTCTGCTTTTGCTTTGGAGGGCAGAAGCCCAGAGTAGCAAGGCAGGCTCCTCAGGCTGAACAGTCGTTCCGTGTCTTAGTCTGCTGGTGGTCGAGAGTCACTGAAGCTCTCGCCTTGTGCAGCTATCCCTCCATCTCTGCTCCTGTAAGATAGGCCATCATTCCTGTATAGCTCCCTCTTCTCCTTTTCCCATAAGGGCATACTGTTTAAGGCCCCATCCTAATAACCGTGTCTTCACTTGGCACCAATACCAACCCTATTTCCCAAGGCCAAGCACTTCAACATCTCTTGGGGTGACATTTCTACCAGTAGTATGTCTCTAAAGGGGTGGCTGGTTTGCTACTTTGGGGTGATTGCCTGCTGCAATTCCTCAGGTATAGGGCAGCAATAAAACTGAGCTCCAAGAGATATTACAATTCTGAAATTGAAATCTTAACTATTTCATTTCTGCTTAAGGGAATTCAAAGGCCCTTATTTCTTTCTGATGTGATCTGGCCAAACCCGCCCCTGTTCTTCCAACTTCCCTTCTCACAGCTGTATTAACTTCTGATGGCTTTCTTGGTTTCTTTGTCCTTCTTCGTTTTCCATTGGCAGTACACGGGATCAAAGCCAGGGCCTGTCGCATGCCAGGCAAGAGCTCTACCAGTGAGCTGTGTCTGAAACAGGTTTCTTAACATCTTTTGCCCCCACATTCTGTTCCTTTCTCTCAAACACACCTAACTTCCCATCTGGGCAATTCATATCAGTTCCTTCTGTGAGACCAGCCCTGATTCTCCAGGAAGCCTGCAGACCCCACCTGTACTGCTTAGATGTGGCTTGTTTTGGAGGCTAAGAGATGAGAAACCAGAGCCTGAGCAGAATCCTGGCTTCACTGATTTGACAGCTGTGACCTTGAGCTGGACAACAGACCTCTTTGTACCTGTTCCCTCATTCATCAACAGAGGTTTAGAGACTGATACGTATAGTATGCATGTTTGCTTTCACTGCATTAAAAGATGAAAAGTGCCCAATGGTGCCTTGAACCTATCTGTTCTGTATTAGTCAACTGACCTCTTGTCAATTTGGGTACACTTACACTTTCTGGCTATTCCCTACCAGATTATAAACCATTTGAGGGATGAGACTACATTTGTCTTGGGTACACTCCTTGCCTACAAAAGCACTTGGCATTCAAATCTTTGTGAAATAAAGCTCAAAGGCCTCTAGCCAAATGAGTCAATGCAGAGGGATGGGAGTGGTGGTGGTTTCTTTCTCCAGTAAGATGTGTAAGGATACAGCAAAGGTAAGAGAAGGATGGGGGGGGGATGGAAAGGAAGAAGGGAGGTCTGAGGTCACCAGGAGGGAGAGGAAAGGCACACAGGTCTTTATCCCTGGAGCTAGGAGACTCATCACTGGAATTCAACCAATATATGCAAAATAAGGAAAAATGGGGGTTTACATAAAATCATTAATGAAATGGAAATCAAGAAACAACTTTTCTGTACAAATTATAGAAGTGATATCAGATGCCATTTGAATAAAATTTCTCAAATTTAAAGGAGAGTTCAGTTTGCAATTCAAAATGCCCCCAAAATGATATACTTAATGAAATGTCTTTATAAAACCCATTATTGTGTACAACAAATAAAAGTAATTTAAAAGTGTAAACAAGAAGATCATATAATCAACATACAGATGCAGAAAATATACAGTAATATTTAACAGATGCCTATTAATTAAAAAATATGGAAAAGCCCTCAGGAAACAGGAAATGAGATATTGTCAACCTAAGAAATGTAATCTATGAAATACTTACAAGTAACTTTATATATACTGGTGAGACAGTTGTATATTTCCCCCTAGGAGTGATGAAAAGAAGCAAAGGATAACTCACAACTCAAAAGGTATCCAAAGACTGTCCTCAGTCTGAGTAAACGCTTCTACTTACAGCTGGTGCCCTGTCATAGCTTGCTAACTGTCCCAGCTTAGTCCACAGCATACGCAGGTACAAGGGTCAGAAAATCTATTTATATATGGGATATAACTTCTCAAAAAGTTAAACTCCTTATTTCTTAAGGTTTCACTCCCACAAACAGAGCATAATTGAAATAAATGTTCAAACTCCTAAGTATATATCATAACAATATTTCCTAAAAATAATAAGAATCAGGCTTTATGAAATGCTTAGGAAGCCCAGTAGAGACAACATTATAAAAGACTTTAATATTTTGACTAAGTAGTATCTTGAAAAAGACAAATTTCTAGAAAAATAAATTCTCCGATCAGTAAAGCTTGTTCCCCATTTATTTTGTGTGTGTAATTCAGAAATACAAGATATGAAAATTCTATTACAGTAATGCCACAAAAGCTTCTAGAGCAGCAACCCATTCCTAAAATGTATCAAAATAGCCATGTGTTCTTTGTCAATGTAAAAATGTCTTCAGAGTTCTCACCTCAAACAAGTATAAAATATAATGGCAACTGTCTCCTTTTCAAAATATCAAACCCACAGCCCTCCATTAGAACAGGATCCGGTCCAGAACTGGAGGGTGGTGGTCAGCAGGGGCTTGAGAAAGATGGGATCCTAAGGACTAGGGGAAATAAGATAGACACAACACATCTTCTAGCAAAACATATGAGTATTAACTGTGGCCTTGAGTAAGACATCTTCCAATTAGAACACAATATAATAAATTTAAATATGATGATGTAATTCACTGAAACAAACGTGTACAACTGTGTGAATTGAAGCAACCGTTACAGAAATGTTCTCATCTTCTAACTACCAGGAAGTCATCTACAGGAAGCAATATATGACTTAACAGATCCAGAAAAATATATACCACTAAATTATATGTAAGTATTAATGGAAAGAGATCACAACATTGTAAATAATCAACTGTGTCAATTATTAAATTGTAAGATTATAGGAAGGAATAACTTTAGTGAAAGATGTTTTTGGACATGGCTGATGAATCAGAGCCAGGCCCTCAATCACTTCCCTAGTTCCTGACTCTTTTTCTTTTTAAATAAATAAATTTTTAAATAAATAAGTCGAGATTGTTTCCTATTCATTCTCAATTATGAAGGGTTCCTAAATTAATGTTGGAATTTACATAGCAGAGTGACATTAATTTTCAAATAAACATAGGATATATTACAATAAAATAATACAACCCAAGCCAGCAGAACAGGCACTCAGAACTGAAACCCCACAAGCTCTTGGTCACTCAGAGGAAACACTTCAGCAGACCTGTAAGCCTAGGGCTGGGTTTAGTAACTCAGTGGTGGGACTCTGCCTTAATGTGTGGTAAAGAATGCCATGCGGTCAACTCTCAAGAAAAAAAAAAGCAGAATTTCCCTAACAATTGGACTGTCCCCTGCCAAGCCATTCTTTTCCTGAGCAGAAAAACAGCATTTCCACATCTGGGATGAAATCACAGTTTTGTGGGACACTGCATTAATGTTGCATTCCAAGCCCACATTTCAAAGTTCACTGTCTGTTGGACTTTTCAAAGGTAATGGGAAGCACATACTGATACACACAATATTTGCGTGGAGTCTCGTAAAGTTAACAAACAGGCACATGGTGCTGATATGACATGGATTAAAAACTACAATACTCTCACAAGTTCAAGTTTTGCTGACAAATGAATTATGGTATCAACTTTAGAAGGAAAAAATAAAGCACATTCAGAGCTTTTCTGAATGAGTGTGTTGGGGCCTCTAACATCTTGGACAAAAAGGCGTATGCCGTGGCATCATGGTTTGCAAACCTGAGTTTAAACTGGGATAGGGTTAGCATCTCCCACCATGAAACAAGGCTTTTCAATTTATTTCAGGCATTATTCACACAGCCATCATTCTACATGAAGACTGTCTGAAAATGGGATAATGAAAAAAGTTAATTGTAACTTTGTCAGGCTCCACCTTGGACTAGATTTGAACAGATAATAGTAGAAAGTACCAACTGCCTGTGAACATTGACAAGAAAATAAAACAGGAAATTGTCCACATAGGGATGCACTTGTTTCCTGTGACTTGGGAACCTATCCCCAGTGCTCCACCCCAGCAGCTGTCCAATGTGACATAAGTTGTGAACTTTGGCTAGATCAGACTGGAGGGGTTCTGGAACTATTGTGGCACTGTCCACCTACTCCTGTACACAGAAAGAAGTCATAAGAAGCAATGCACATAATAAAGTCTCTGTAATTATATTTAAAATACGTTCTTCTCTGTTCTTGATAAAGAAGGGGCCATTAAATACCTTATTAATGAAAACTAAGCCACCATAAACTCAAAAGCTTGAAAAATTCAAAGAGAAAAAAAAAAACCCACCAACACCAAAAAAACCACGGGTCATTGACTATGATGGTACATGGCTATCTGTAGTGCTAGCACTCAGGTGGCTGAGGCAGGGGACCAGGTCAAAAACAAAATCCATTAGAAAAAAAGGAAGAAAGGAAAGAGAAAAAGGAAACAGAGAAAAGCAAAAAACAAATGCCTGTCACGGCAATAATGTCTAGGTTTTCAATAGCTTTCTTTGCTGTTGTGTCTTTTATTCGTTTTTTAACAGTTAAAAAGTTTTTTCTTTGACAGCAGAGGTATTTTCCCAGTGTAATGAACTGGGATGCACTACTTTGTATACAAGGAGGACAGGACAAAACATCCAGGCAGAGATAACTGTCCTTGAGCTGCACAGTGAACAGAATGAGTGGGGATATGGGCTAGACTCGTCATAGGCACTTGACACAGACCCACTCAATGAATGGCAGACCCCACCCACAGCCGTGAATGCAGGCTGCAGTTAAGAGGGCCAGAGGTCTCCTTAACACATTGAAGACACTGGGACATCTTACTTCCAGGAAGAGGGTCTTCAAAATCCATCAACCAGCAACTTCCCGAAAGCTACATGTGTGCTGTGAGGATAAGAATTTGGACTGCAGAGGCGGCTTAGCTATGAAAGGCTAGACACCATCTTTCATGAAAAATTAAAACCAAAAATCAAAAGAAACCCCCAAAGGTTCTTCATGTGTCACAAAATACACTCCTTGATCTCAGTGCACAAAAGGGGGGAACAACCAAAAATAGAAGAATGTAATGCTTTTAATTTTTTTGTTTTAATGAATTCATGAATTAGGAAGGTCAAAAAAGGCTGCACTTGCCTCCATCTTTTTCTTTTTTTCTTTTTTTTACAAAAATATTATAGAAGAATAAGCAAGAAGAGAAGACGAGAGTTGGGAAGAACACAGAGACTGAGCTGGAAAGGAACTGTGAACTTCAGGTCATCATGGCTATTGAAGAAACTGTAAACTTTTAAGCTTCTGTGAGATTTTATTTCTATTCAAAAACCAGGTGAAAAGGCTGCCTTTCCCCGCGAATAAAAAGTGAAAATGTTCTAAACACCAGTCTGAAGAAGAAAGCCCCATTTGCCGGTGCAAAGGACTCAGCCCCTCACCTCATCTGCACTGCTCGCTCATCCCCCTGGTGTCTTATGGGATCAGAGAGAGAGAAGCCAGCTTCACTGGCAGAAGCGAGTCCCAAGCACAGCACAGGAGCTGACAGCCCGACCCACCAGCTACGTGGAAGACACACCTTGAATAACATACAATGAAAAAATTAAAAAACAAAAACTCATAAAAACCCAGACACCATCTTTCATGAAAAATTAAAACCAAAAATCAAGAGGAACCCCGAAGGTTCTTCATGTGTCACAAAATACACTCCTTGATCTCAGTGCACAAAAGGGGGATAAACGAAAAAATTGAATTTACCATTCTGGAAGTCTATCTATTCTTTACCCTGGTCTCCTGGTACTAGTTCTTACACAATCACCACTTTGTCTCAAAGCCCAGAGAAACCAAATGGTGTCCTGGTCCATATTTGCATAGTGTTAACAGTAATATTGTAGAGAAGAACTCTGTCCCTTTGCTTGCAGCCAGATTTCTGAAGAGCAGTGGGTCCAATCTCACACATTCAAAAACAAGACACAAAAGTCTGGAAGCTGAAGATTGAGTTCCATTAGCAGCAAGCTGTTCAAATCACTGGATACAGTCTTTTGTCCAAGGGGCAAGAATTAGGCAGTTTTGTCTACAGTTTCGGGTTTTGCTTTCTGTGCCATGCAGCGGCGAACTATATTATCAAAACTTCCAAGGTAAAACAAAGCAATGATTCGGAAAAGGCCCATGGTGACCACCTGCAAGATAAAGGAGATCTTTCAGCTCACCCAACAGGACAGCACAATAGTCCATTTTAAAGTAGTCACATCTCTACTAAACAGTTTCTAGGACACATCTAGTTTACTCCATGAACAAGTATAATGAAAACTTTGCAAATGCCAGTGATTTCAAATCAGAATACTTTGTACACTGGATAGCACTGAGCCTACAAGACAAACAGCAATATTTGTCTGGCAAATCCCAACCATATAAAGAACAAAATAGGTATTTTTAGAGGACAGATAGACAACCTACAATCAAAGCTCTTTGGCTAGGATTTGTTTTGAGTACTAAGCCCTTTTGCTAGGTGCTGAAGATGCTAATGTGAGAAATACATATTCCTGGACTATCTAAACTGATTTGCTTATTTTTGGGGGACAAATTCTTTTGCTTAGACTGATCCCAGACTCTCGGTCATTAGTGATCCCCCGGCTCAGCCTTTAAGTAGCTGTGGCTACAGGTGGGCATGGACCCGGCTTGTAATGGAAACATAATTAAGTAAGAAAGCAATCACTATCTCAGGGGCAAGGCAGCAATTATCTGTGGCCACTTATCCTGCTCAGTGACGGACTCTCACCAAAGCAACTCCAAATGGCATCACCTAAAGATGCACATTTTCAGATATGCAAGGACTTAAAACCCATGTCTGCCAGGTATCCTTTTCCGAGATGAACGAGACATAGAAAGTGGGGGTTCACCAAAGGAAAGAGGTGTCATGTGATCTGGTGAATTTGTAAATATCTAGGGAGAGACTGGCAAGGCCAGCGATGAATTCACAATGAATTAGCAGACTGGAGACGTGGCTCAGCTGGTTAAGTGTGTTCCTAGCATGCATGAAGTTCTGGCATCCATCCCCAGCACCACATGAAACAGGCCTGGTGGCATCCATCTGTGACCACAGCACTTGCAGCAAGAGGCAACAGGGTCAGAAGTTCAAGGTCATCATTTCAAGAATCTTAGGGAGGAAAATTAACAGTAAAGGACAAAAATTTTTTTCTTCTCAAACACAAATCTAACCACAATGATAACACAGCTAATCTAAGGAAACGAGCGTGGGGAGGAAGTTTGCAGGAGAGCCAACCGCTCTCCTCCAAGATAATGGCAACACCATGATGCACCAAATAAGAGAAGCAGCGGCACCTGGACACGGGCGGCACCTGGACACGGGCGGCACCTGGACACGGGCGCACGCCCCCAGGCAGTGGGAGAGACAGAGGAGGCTCTGCTGAAAGAGGAGTGACTGCCTCAGAGGCAGGCATAGAGAGAAGCCGAGGAGGGTCAATTTTCTCCGAAAGCCTTTGCAAGTGTTTGATTCTGAGTGAGGGCAAGGCTGACTTCTGAAAACACCAGGGAAACTAAAGGGAAGTTGGTAAAGGGAATCTATGTGATACCATGACTAGTAGCCAGGATCTCAGGAAGGGACAAAACAGGTTTTCAGGGGACTTTCAGGACAGTGAAATGATCCCACACAGCCCTGAAGTGGTGGATCTGCACCTCACAGAAGCACAGAGTGTAAACCGTGGGCCTTAGGTGAGAATAACGTGTCAATAATGACTCCTCTTGACACAGGGGCACCACACTAACATGAGGACTCAGTGACACAGGGACTGTGGTGGTCAGGCATATAGGGAATTTGACATACTGTGCATGGAGAGTTTCTATAAAACTAAAAAGTAAAGTCTGTTATAAAACTACAAAACTAAAGGTCCGGCAGGGTAAGACCTTAAGAAAAGCATTTACAACACAAGCTATTAAAACTAAAACAAGGGCAGGTCTAGGCTCTGAACACAAACCTGTAGTCCTGTAGTGAAAGGAAACTTGAGAATGAGGACAGCAGGGACAGAGAGAATGGGACAGTTAGGGAAGCAGAGTTAGGCAGGCTTGTGCAGGGCAGCAGACTGGAAGCTTCATCCAGGGGCTCTGGGGAGCCACTGACAATAGAGCAGACAGTTACAGACGCAGCATTGAAACTGACAGCACTCCTATGGACTCCAGTGGCCTGGGCAGGTGCTAGAGGTCATGGGATTGGGACAGGGGCTGTGCTCTAGTCTATGGGCGTGACTGCCACCCTTTAAAGTAGCCTGCTGCTACAGACCTTCTAATGTCCCAAGAAATGTCTCAAATTTGGATTTTTTTCTGTTTCGCAATATCTGATTTTGAAACAATTTTACTTGAATACACACACTCATGGAGTATGGTGGCTTACAGCCATAATCCCAGTACTAGGTGGGTAGAAGGGGTCGGGGGTGGCCAGTGTGAGCCTGATGCTTGCTGAGACTACATAGCATGTTGCAGGCCAGCCAGGACTAGAGACAGTCCACACACTTCTGTCAGATGGAACACGACATCTCTTTTTATGCTCACAGGCTTCTGTCTGCAAGTTCTGGCTCACAACACACGTGACTTAGGTCAGGGGTAACAATCTGGGTATCAACTCTGGGATCATCAGCAGAGCTGCAGAGTGTGGGACAGCTGAGGTGACGAGAGGGACCCAGAAGCCGAGGAGTCAGGGATCACACCCCAGTATCTGGCCGAGCACTTTGGCGTGAGCACCTACCACAGAGTAAGGCCACTGGAGAGAGCTGTGGCTGGAGATAAGCCAGCTATATCCCAGGGACTATAAAGGGTTACTTTGGACTTGTTGAACTGGAAATGTCTAGTTACTTCCCAGGGAAACTATGTAAAAGAAACTGTTTTTTTAAAAAGTTGGAATGTGAACCTAGCTATGGAACTGACTTTCAGACTTGGCATCACTTTTGTGAAGTGGCATGCATGAGGAGAACGAGACTGCCTGTGGACAGGTGCGGACTCTGTGCTCTTGCCCAGCTTGGGCATCCTGAACTCCTGTTTGTGTAGGCGCTGGCTGCCGGGGCACAATGCCGAACAAGAGCCACAGGCCCTGTCCTCAAAGATCTTATACCTCACCATGTTTACTGCCGGACAATCCTATGATAGTGGGTGCACTTCATAATGCGACAAGAAGTAACCCGAGAAAAAACCAGGGAGTTAGCGTGGCTGCATCATACACAGACACCTACAGACTTTGTCAGCAGTGATCCCTGGCTTTGTGTCCCCAAACACTCTCCCATTATAGCTCCAATCACAAGTCTGCCATCATTGTTACCTCACCCAGCAGTCTCGCTACTATGTGGCAAACTCCTTAAAGGTTAGTAAACCCTCTTACACCTAGCCACCTGGGGAAGACAGAACCTCACCAACAGGAAGTGAACTTCCAGGCCTGGAGAGAAGGCTCAGTGGTTAAGAGCACTGTTCTCCCAGGGGGCCTGCATTCCATTCCCAGCACCTAGATGGCAGCTTACAACTCTCTTCAACTTGTTGCAGGGAATTCAATGCTCTCCTGGCCTTCATGGGCACTGCATACACATGGTACATAGACATACATGCAGGCGAACCACTCATGCACATTTAAATTCTAAGAGTTCAATTCATATGTCCTGGGTGAAACTGTAAATCCTATAAGGGCAAATTCTCTCCTTGAGTCTCCTTCAGCTCAACTATCAGTGGCTAGCTCACTAGAAGGGATTCAAATCTAGTATCTCATTGTTTGTGGACAGTGCTGCCCCTACACAATTCTAGACCAAGCACTCCTTTTCAAACACATTAGAGCAAGGGCTCTTTATTGAAAACTAGGTGAACATCCAGCCACAGGGACAGTCCTTCCATCCACAGGGAGGGTCCGGTACCTCACCTCTTTACATGTAAAATCACTGCACGCTTCTCTTGATGTTTTTCTCACCGAAGTTGGATGTGGTAATTGTTGTCTTGCCAAGTCCATCCATTCTGTTAGCCTGTCTGTGTGTCTATCTGGTTGCCAGCTAAGAAAGGGCTTACCTGCTGGAGTCCTTCAGTGATAGAAGTCACTGGGGCCATCCCACAGGTCAGGGAGGACAGCATGTACCCATCTGAGCCAATGGAACTATTAAAATTTCCTTGCTGAAAAAGAAGCAAGAAAAAAAAGGGGGGGTATGAAGTAAGTTTAGAGGAATCAGCTGAATACCAGAGAAGCAATGAAGTACGACCCTTCACTTTTTGTGGGGCAGGATGGCAACTTAGAATATACCAGAACTTAAAAAAAAAAATGGACACATAGACTTAACGCAGGTTCTGAAACTCTGAATCCACAGATCCCTTTCAGGATCTCTAAGGACAATGCAATTGTCAAATAATTTTGCTGGCCTCACCGCTGACTTTTGTACAGAAGGACAAATTGTCACAGCGCAAACCAGTGTTTTTTGGGGGGACTGTGGGCTAATGGCTCTAATTCAGCCATTGCACTGCCACTACAGTGACAAAGAAAACACAATATAAAAGTCACCTGACAGACACTCAAAGTTCAGCAATTTATTAAACAGTGACCTTTGAAGACATCTCTCCTCCATATAACCCCCGTTCCCCTAGCTTCGGGTACCAATACTTAGCTAAGGTCTGAAAAAGCTAAGTGGAAATCCCAGAAATAAGCGATTCACAAGTGTTAAATTGTATGCTGTCTGAACAGCATACTGGTATCTTGGGCTGTCCAGCTCTGTCCCACCTGGGACATGTGACTCTTCTTTGTTCATCAGTATAATCAGGGCCTTAATCCATTAAGTTTCAGGATGCCCTTGATCTCATTATGTAAGTGAGGATGGTCTTGAATTTCTCATCCTCTTACCTCTACCTCCCAAGTGCTGGGATCACAGATGGATATCATCATCCTCAGTTTATGTGGCACTCCAGAAGGAACCAAGGCTTCATGCGTGATAGGCTATCACTCTACCAAATGAGCTACATCACCGCTAAGCTTTTCCATAGGTGTACAGGACGCACACAGCATACACAGGGGTCAGTATCACTGATGTTAGGCTGGTCTTGGACTATCTCCTAGAGGACAAGAGAAGGAGGGCTCCTGTTCCTCGTGACAACTGCTTAAACTGGGATACTAAAGGATGGCTGACACCTTGAAGAAAGGCCCTCCTGCAATGTTCAGAGATGAGCTCCCTGACAACTACTGACCAGCGGGCTGCACTCGGACTTGGGCTTGAGACACGAACGGGGCAGATGAATGAAGTAAATCTGTGGCTTGCAGGAAAACCATAGGATACATATGAGGGCAGTGATAAAACCTGAACTTTTAGGGAAAAATTAAGATTTGGGAAAGCTTTACCCATCAATATTGAGACATATTTTTCATGATCTCTGATGAATGTGACTTTTGATAACTCAGTGATTCCATATCTTCCAAATGACTTCATGTTTTCAAATGGTGAATGAGTGAGTGAAAGATCCATTCAATGTACAAATGGGAGAGGAATTTTAATGCCACAGAGAACAAAAAGCTCATTGGTGCAGTTTCTAATTTCACAATGTAACCAACTTTAAAAAAAACAAAAAACCTCTATCTGTCAAGTTGGGGGATAGTATAAAAAAGAAAATTATGCCCATAATTATCCAAAAACCTTAGTGAAGACATTGTCCTCTCCCAACTACGTATCTGTTTAAAGTCAGCTTTTCTTCAAATGCTTCAAGAAGAATGTATTTAACAGATTGGCCACAGAAGCAGATACTGGACTCCAGCTGGCATCTATTAATGCAGACCTTGTACAGGCTCATGAAAATACAATACCACACTTCTCACTGAATTTCTGTTTGAAATAGTTATTTTTGAGCCAGGCATGGTGGTGCATGCCTGAAATATCAGCATGCGAGAAGTGGGAGAAGGGTCAGCAGTTCAAGGTTATTCTCAGCTGCAGACTGAGTATGAAGCCAGCCAGAGACGACGCTTCAGACAGAAACTCTTGTCGCGTGAGTTTGATGATCTGAGTTATCACCCCAGAACCCCAGTGTGAGGAAACAACTGACCCCTCAAAGTTGTTCTCTGACCTCTATACTCATATGTACATTCTCTCTCTCTCTCCTATGCACACACACACACAAAGAAAGAAAACAGAGAGGAGGTGCACGGCTGCCTGGAACTCCAGTTCCAAGGGATAAGATGCTGTCTTCTGGCCAGCCAGGCATTTTGCATACATGCATTCAGGCACAAATATACAATATACACTAAAAGAAAAAATAAATCTGTTTAAAAGAATTTAATGTTTATTGCAGTTTTATTATTTTCCTTTTCTTTTCGATTTTGTTTCGTGTGTGTGTGTGTGTGTGTGTGTTTTGCTTGCATGTATGCTTGTGTACCACACGTGTGCCTTGTGTCCTAGGAAGTGGTGAACTTCCATGTGGGTGGTGGAAGTCAAACCAGGTCCTTTGCAAGAACAACAAGTGCGCTTAGCCACTGAGCCAACTCTCCAGTCCCTATTAATTTGATTTTAAATGATTTCCCCTCATAACTAAATCTCTCCCATCATCCTCTGGTGATGCTGGTGAGGAAACCCAGGACTATGCATGTGCAAGGCAGGAATTCACTACTGATTACTCTCTACAGCCCCACAACTAAATAGTTTAAAAACTACACTTTCAGTATCTATTATGGCAAGTATTGAGAAATATAGGTCTGTCAGACGTGATGGTGCATGCCTTTATCCCAGCATTCAGGAGGCAGAGGCAGGCGAATCTGTGATTTGAGGCCAGCTTGGTCTACATAGTGAGCTCTAGGATAGCCAGAGCTATACAGTGAGACCTGTCTCAAAACAACAAACAAATAAGAGAAATATAACCCAGATAAACATATGGTTTTGGGGGGATGGTGTCGATAATTTATAAAAGTATAATGGGGTCAAGGGAAGAAAAGGTTTGCAAGCTGCCCCGGGAGATGACTCTTGCAGGACTGGAAGCACTACTTGGGGTCATTAAAAGCCCAGTTAGTGGAGCTGGGGAGGAGGCTTGCTCCATGGTGGAGAGCATCTGCTGCTCTTCTTACAGAGGATCCTAGCATCAACATGCTCGTATAACTCCAGTTCCAGGGGAGCCAATGCCCTCTTCTGGCTGTTTTGAGCACCGTACCGGCACACACATGGTGTGTGCATGCATACTTTCAGGAACACACATAGACACATTTTTTTTTTAATCTTGGGGGAAAAAAACACCTTGAGGGTGTTGGTTTTGACTTGAGAGAAAAGCAAACTAGTTTATCCTAGTCATTCCTCCTAGTCCACTGCTCTGTGCCTGTTAAGGCAACCAAGGCAACTATTCTGTGTGTGTGGGGGGGGGCTAGAGGTCAATGTTGGGTATCTACCTCAATCACTCTACACTGTATCTTTTGGGAAAGGGTCTCTAAATGACCCTGGCTAGGCTCACCAATGGGCTACGTTGGCTGGCTCACAAACTCTGGGGATCTGCCTGTCTCTGCCCACGTAGGGCTTAGGTTACAGACAGGTGCAACTACACCTGAGCTCAGTTCTTATGCTTGCACGACTTACTGGGTCATTTCTCTAGACTTTTTTTTTTCTTTCTAATGTATATTTATTTATTTACTTGTGTGTATGTGTGCACCACAGCATGTATGTAGAGGCCAGAGAACAACTTGAGGGAGTCAGTTCTCTCCTTCTGCCATTGGATTTTGAAGAACTCAGGTTATTAGGATCGGTGGCAGGCACCTTCACCCGCTGAGTTGTCTCACTGCTATTCTGTTCTGCTCAGCTTGGCATAACAGCACTTTCGATGCTTAGAAACTGCACTATGTTATCTGGATGCCTCTCATGGCAATGGACCCCAGATTTTCCAAAGTCATGTAGGCCATTGGGGTTCATGTACATCCTCCATAACGAACCTTTTTCCACACGTGAACTACTGGAAATGCTGTCACAAGACCTGTGGTACACATGGTGTTCTGCAACGCTTTACACGGTTTCTAAAGCCAACTCCCCATACATGAAGGGGTGTGGTGGGCCAAGCATCCTGAAACAGCTTCTTATCATGAGGGAGGCAGTACCAGGGACCAGGAAGGAGAATGAGACACCCGCCCTGAGCCTGGCCACAGGCTTCGATGATCTCAAACTGTGGGGACAGGAGAGAAGGCCAGGACAAGGCTCAGTGGGTAAAGGTGGGCAGCAAGCCGGACACCTGAGTTTAGTCCCCTGGACCTGCGTGGTAGAAGGAGAGAGCACTCCCTGCATGAAGGTGACATTCACACACACAGTAAGTAACATCAACGTTGGAAAAAGAAGATGGTGACATGCCTTCTGCTGGACTCACACACTTCCCAGGAGCTGAAGCTCTTACTTAGCCTGACTCCATCCCTCGGGTTACTATGGAATCAGCAGAGGGTCTATGGGGAGGAGAGTGGAGGCCACCATTAGACAAAGCTGATCCACAGCTGGACGCCTCCCTTAAAATTAAGCCCTTATGCGTTTTTTTTCAGAAATACAGCATAAATACAAGTAGCACAAAAGCCAACACAAGGGTTTTTACTTACTATGGCATCTTTGACAATTTGCTTGGCCACCTGCTCTGGTTTGCAAATAGATGTCGTCTCTGAAATAAGTCGGGTCTCCAGGGGCTGAAAGTGGCAAAATAGAAAAATCAATGCCATCACACTAAAATACATAAGTCTTCAGTAGGACTGCGATATAATCCTGGTACATGAGCTAGCTTGTTAGAGCCCATTCTCTACGGTGGGATGCCATGTGGTCTTCATGCATGGGAATGGGGCCTGGCCCTGCCCCCAACCTTGTGTTAGATTGTGTTGACTCCTCATGGGAGCCCTTACCTGTGAGGTGGAGTGGACTGGGAGTAGGCTAGGGGGGGAGGTAAGGAAGGATGGGAGGAGGTGATGGGGGTGGGAGGAGGGGTGGGAGGGAGAAATGTGGTTGGAATGTAAAATGAAATCAAAATAGAAAAAAGTAAGTCTTATAGGCCCTGATTTACAAATAATTATCATTTCCTACCTTCGTATGTTTCAGGCATCAATCAATCTAGATACCAAGGCAGTTTCTATTAGTGGAATACTCATCTCCACTGGCAAATCAAGACAAGCAGACATTTGCTGTTCCGTGGCACCAGTATGGTTCTAGTGAAGACTGCCAAGCTAGAGTGAGAGCAGATCAACACATCACGGTGCAGAGGGCCCCTGCCCCAACTAGCCAGACACCTGCCTGATGGTCTGTACACAGCGGCTGGTCCCCGCCAGAGCAGTCTCTCTCGCCACAGTGCCTCCAGTCTGACTAGAGTCCGCACTGAGCAAAGAATGATGCTGGGAAACTCCGAGTGTGGACAGTCTCAGCCAAGGCCTCACAGAAGAACTCTAACTAATTCCTCAAGGACCAGCAGAGACTAGCTATCTGAGAATCAACACTGTCTGCAGTGTTCCTAGTTTGGCTGAAGGGCAGTTACAGGACTGGAACTCCAGTTCCCAAATCACAGGCTCATTCCTCAAAAGACAAAGGCCTACTGGACGGGCACCTGGCCCAGAACACCTTTCCAAATCTTTGCTAGGTGTTGCCATCTCTCTCTCCCCTTCCTCTCCCCCCCCTCCTTTTCTCCCTCATACCCACATTAACCCATATCATGGCTACATCTGTATTTACACTTTGTGTCCTAATTTACTTGTAAGCAGTATTTTTTTTTGTCATTGGCTTTTCTTAGTAGCACTTTACACACACATCTAAACATTCTTCAAAACAGTTTCCAACCGAAGCATTAAAGCCACAGGAAATGAGACATTTGACCCCTTACACAGAGGAAAAACCTAGTACATATTTCCTCTTCCTTGTCCGTTTTTGTGACACGGGGTCTCATCACTATGTAGCCCAAGTGGCTTGTGACTCCTGATCATCCTGCCCCGGCTTCCTGAGTACTGGGATCACAGCCATGTGCCACCACACACAGTTTATTTCTTCTTAAAATAGAAAGCCAAAATGCTTCACAAAGGCCAGTTTTTCCTTATGAATTTGACGTGACAAAGGTCCCGTTGATGGTGCCACCATCGGCTCTTTCAGCCTACCAGAGGGGTGAGGCCACGCAAGACGCACTGAGTTAGAAGGATGCCTACTACACAGGGCCACAGATCATTAGAAATCTGTCCAAAATTTTACGAGAGGTAAAATGAAAACAAACTTAACATCAGAATCAAATCTCAGGGAAATCACTGCTTTTCTTGAGTTTTAGCTTCAAACTCAAAGACTATGTAGCAAGAATTAAAAGTATGCTAAGCAAATCTCTGAGGCAGGAGGTTTGCTTTCAGCTTATTTCTTTGAAACAGTAAGAATTTGTAAAAATGGCTGACTTTTAAAAAAATGGGGGAGGGTTTCTCCATCAAAATCTTTTTCCCCCCTTTGGCAAACAAAAACAGAACACAGACTACATAAACATCCCAATTTTATGCTACAGAGATCCACAGTAAGAGGAAAACGAAAACCTAAAATAATTATCTAAAGTTAAAATCACCCTCAGTGCGAGGTGGCAAGTTCTGATTGGTTTCTTCTGACCAACATCGCTCAGGATAACCTGAGCTCACTTCATATAACCCGCATGTCCATGTGAAATGACCAGAACCAAGCCCATAGAGGGCAGGAGACCAGCAGTATACGAATCAGAGCCTTAGTTCCCTAACAGCCTCCATACACAGCATGGGAGATGCCTCCCTGGAACAGAGCAGCTCAGCAAACTCTGGTGTGGAATGGCAAGTCCCCAGGCCTCTTGCTTTGTTTGGGTTTGAACTCTCCTGATGGTAGCAAACCACAGGATCCCTCACTGGGGAAAGAATGAGAAGGGAGATGTCCATGTAAGTGACTAAGGTCGTGCATGCCACACCCTGTCATCTCTAGGCAAAGGAGGAGGCACCAGAGGTTTCCAAGGGGCCTTTCAGTGTCTCCCTCAATGCAATCGCCCTAGTGCAAAGTGCAGTGCCGAATGGCTGGAAGTATAATTGCAATGAAGTAAAGAAACAGATAAGGGGGAGTAAGATGGAAAGGACAATAATAAAACCAATCAACACCCAGAGGACGCTCCTCGGGAATAACAAAAGACTCACTGGCCCACCCCAGGCCCCGGGTCTCTCTGCTTGGGGACCAGGATTTTGCTCTCAGCCACTTCTCCAGCCCCACGTCTGCCTTTGTGACACCATGCTCCCTCCACAATGACAACGGACTAACCCTACGAAACTGTAAGAAAGCCCCAATTACACTGGTGTTTTATAAGACGTATGCTGGTCTTGGTGTTTCTTCACAGAAAGAGATTAGATGGCTAAGACAAACTCCATGACAGAAAGAAGACAAAAGTGCTTTGTTTTTAAGAAATCAGTAGAAATAAAAATTTCAACACAAAAACTGAAGGAGAAAGAAAATGAGAAGAAGAGAAGGAAGGGAGACAATCAGACCAGAAAGTAGGGCACCTAAGCAATAGCTCTAGGAAGAACACTTTGAAATACTTTGGATGGAAAATGTTCCAGAACTGAAGCTCACGAGCTGACAGAATAAAGGCCCTCCGTGAGTGTGTAGCACATGAAATAAGAGCATCTCACGTCAAATGATATTTTTAAAAAGATAAAAAGGGAGAAGAGTGTCCACAACTAAAGACCACCACTAACACACTGAAAACCTGACTGGCCTAGAGCTGCCTCGGGATGGGTGGAGCACACCCTGGGGAATGTAATAGAGGCTGCTCTATAGGCACTGAAGAATCTGTGATCTCACGGCATGACTGGAAGGAGGTGAAAGGTGAGAGGCGGGGCCCAGTTGCAGGAAGTGGATCCTTGGGAATGTGCTCCTGGCGCTATAGCTCACCCTGGCTCTTGCTATCCTCTCTTCTCTGCTTCCTATAAGGTGAACTGCTCTGCCCACCCGTTCTCCCTGTCCCAATGGGCTGATATCTCTGAAACCATGATCATGGAACAGAAACAAACCTTTCCCCATCCAAGCTGCTTTTCTCAGGTATTTGATCACAGGGTCCCCACAGCAACACTAGAAGCTAGAACTCAGCGAGAAATGGCCTGCAAAACTCTGAGGGTCGTCATTCTCAACTTAGAATTTTGTACCAAATAAAACAACCTATTAAACACAACAACCACAAACACACACATAAAAAAGAATGTGTGTGTGTGTGTGTGAGAGAGAGAGAGAGAGAGAGAGAGAGAGAGAGAGAGAGAGAGAGAGAGAGAGAGAGAGAGAATGTTAAGGCACATTCTAAACAAACGTCACCTATCCCGTGCCTTTCTCTCGAAGGACTGAAGTGCCACCAAATGAGCAGATAAATGTCGGAAGTGAAAGACACACACTCCAACAAAGGGACAGTGGAGTGCTGAGAATGTTGAGCTAGAGGCCTGTGTCCCGTCAGGAAGTCCTAGGAGAAGGGGCTTTGAGGAAGCAGAATCAAAGTAACAGAACCGCACATGTTCAGATCCAAGGACGTTCAGTCAGTCCTCCCCAGTGAGCAGCCACAGGTGCACACAAAGTGAAAGGATTATATACAAGAAAGGAAACGTCAGTGTAGAGAGGATCAGACTTTAATAATATTCGCAAAGTTACATGTAAACTCAGGAATCTGACATTATTACGGAGAACACAGGGAGGTTGGAGTAGATCCGAGGCTTACATATTAGCTTCCCCAGCAAAAAGTAAGACGACGTAAGTATGTATGTAAGTCTGGGTTTAAACACATTGATGAAATGGCTCTGTCTGGGGAACAAAAATCAGAAGGGAGAGATAAGCCCACAGGCAGTGCTGGAAAATTATAACGTATGTGAAAATAGCAAAGGAAGGGAGGGAGTTTTGCCTGGAGAACCCCAGGGAGGGCAAATCCTGGCTCAGCACCCTATGCCCAACAGACCCAGCAGAAACCATTAACAGGTAAATGGTGAGGAGCTAAAGCAGGATAAAAATCAGAGGACGGGTTACACGGAGGATGCAGAATGGGGCCGGGGAAAGAGAGTGCTGGCCTTGCCCCTGGATGGCACAGCCTTGCAAAGCCAGCCCCGGGGGAGCGAGACAGGAGGACCCCAAGGCACACTGGGCTCCACCTCCTTAACAGTTCCATGATAGTGGGAGACCCTGTCTAAGACCGAGGTGGACACCATCTGAGGAGGAACACCCAAGGTAGCTCCTCTACATGTGTGTGCACTCAAATATGCACAGCCCTCCCACACAAACATGCACAGTACAAATATGCATGCACATACACATACACGACACACATCCCACACACAAACATGCACAATGGACACACATATACACATAAACACACACACACATGACACACACACAACACACACACGCACAATTCCCATACAAACATGCACACATATGACACACACATACATCCTAACATGCATAGTCCCCATATGCAAACATGCACAGGGAACACACACACCACACACACAAACATGCACAATCCCCATACATAGAGACACAAACACATACACATGACACACACATCCAAACATGCACAATTCCCACACACAAAAATGCACAATGCACACACATAGACATAGACACAAATATACAATATATACACACACATCAACCCCAAATATGTACAACCCACACACATAAACATGCACAGTACACACACAGACACACAAACCCAAACATGCACAAACCCATATACACCCATATACATACACATTACATATACACATCACAGAACACATACACACACACACACACACACACACACACACACACACACACACACAAAACCCCAACATAATCACACAACACACATACTTTATGCAGGCACACACTATGCTCATATCACACATACACACACCACACACCATACAAACACCACACACAAAATAGCACTCAAACATAACACACAGAATACACATCACACGTAACACATACATCATACATACAACATACATCACACGCACAACATACATCATGCACACACCACACAATAAACATAACACACATCACACACAATACAGATAACACACATCACATCCCATACACATATCACACATACAACATACATCACATGCAACACATTATCACACATACAACATATATCCCACACACATCCTACACAGAACACATGTCCCACACACATACAAAACGCATCACACACACAATATACATCACACACACACACACACAAACATACAACACAGAAGACTAATATTATATAGGAGTACTGACCTTCGTTTTGTTTTCTTCTGCCAGCCCTGGGGTGTCAGTGTCCGGTGGGTAGGCCACAGTGACATACACATTATAAGGCTTCACCTGTTCACAAACAAGGTTTGCACTTTGAGTAAACAGACCATTTTGTATGCATCCCATTAACTTGCCTTAGCTGTGCTGACTCTTAGAAGGTGTCAATCAACAGGCTCATGAGATGACTATCAATGAACAGCCACCAACTGTACTGAGGACACCTCTCCATGATGGTGGCTGCCTCCCACTGAGGTTTCTCCCTGCCTGCAGACCAGGCAAAGGCTCAGGTGCCCGGTGTGGACAAGAGACAGTGTGCTCACTCAGACTCTGCCCATGAGCTGAGTAGAGTTTCAAGGCAAGAACTGGTCTACACCCGTATCTATGTGGTTCGAATCAAGTCCACACCCTTATCTATAAGGTTATAGTCTTTTTTATCTACAAGGTTATATAGCCTTTTTGCCTTTCAGGCTGCTTCCTGCTGTGCCCGAATTCAGGTCTGGAGAAGTCCCTGTACAACCACCCACACAGCATCAGAAGAAAGCATCTTTGCCCTGGGTGGATCTCCAAAGAAGTACTAGCCAAGCAACGCTCCTGCAAACAGCCTCGGCCAGTGTTTACATACAGAAACTCTCCTCTGCCCTTTGACACTAAATCTCTCATTGTGTAAGCCCAGGCTAGTCTGAACTGGAGATCATTCGGCCAAGATTTCACAAATGCTTGGGGTGCAGGTGTCCACCACCATGCCCAGTTCCCCGATTTTCTTTACAGATATTCTGCCTAATTCCAACCTCCCTCTGGCTCTTCCAAAGCTTGTCTGTCCCCTACTTTCTCTTCTCATTCAACTTCTCTACTGATGAACACACTCCAACAAGCCCAGTGGGCCTTCTTTTCAGGGGACAGTCTCCCAAATACTGTCCCACAACAGTAACCTGTTCTCTTACCCCGGTAATTAGCAATCCAAAAGCTCACATAACCAAGTTCAGTTTTATATGATGTTCTTATTTGCTGTTGGCTTATGGTTTTGTCCTCATAAGGGCATGTGGGCTAGCCACTGAAAATCTTAAGGATGGTAAATCAGATAATGCACCACAGGGCCATCCTCCTACCGGAGAGTCGGTCCTTTATCTCCTAGACTCCCTTAGTGGCAGTTGTGTGGCCTCAGGAGACATACATGGATCAAGAGAAAGAAACAACAGGTGCTGGCCAGCCAGCCAAGTTGGTGCATGAATGAAAGCTGGCTCCACTCCAGTGTGTCCAGGTCAAGAGGGTTCATGGCTCGGCCAGGCCAACCAGGCTTGTAAGTGAGCCAGCTGTGACAATGATAAGCCATTTCTTTCTTTCACACTCGCTTTTGAGGTGGGGACTTAACAAAACATTTGTCTCTAGCAGTCTTGTTTGGTCCTATATTGCTAGCAGAAAAAAATGGCTCAAAAAAAAAAAGTGACTAGATGAAAAGTAGGCAACTCACAAAGACCGGCAACAGTTTCTCAAATCTACTCTTGCTACCCACCCCCTGCAGTATGTAAGGATTGTAGTGTTTTATATGATAATCACATGGATTTTCAAAGTAGTGTCTCTCAAGCTCAAGTCATGAATGGATCACATAGTTAGAACTGTTCTCTCATGGGGAGGAACTGTAAATAACAAGATGGAGAGGTACCAATCAGTCCCCTTTTGGCCTACCATTGTCTCTGCAATCAAGTCCAACTACTCAGCTAGTGTACGGCTGGGTGCTTCCAATGATTAACAAGTTCATACTTATGCAGTTCTTGGTTTGTTTACTCTTACTAAATTACTACTATGTGCTAACACAGACCTAAGAATCAGTATGAACTAAATGGACAGCTCTCTGTACCTCACAGTTCCTGATTTCCTGATATTCTTCTTCAGTGCATGCAAAATTATGTCTACATCTTTCGTTAGCTGTTAATATGGCAACCCAACCAATAAGGAAAGGTTAGCTTACATTCACTCGTTCTGGGTTATGGCAGTATGATGCCTGACCTCACTGAGTCCTGTCTAGCTGTCTGATTCTCCCTATCCCTGCAGAACGGCTGCTTTCTATCCTCTGCTCTGCCTCTCTCTCATGCTAGCCTCATTTTCTCCCTTCTACTTGGCACCAGCCTCAGAAAGGTAAGAGAATGGATGTTCGCCTAAGAACCAGCTTATCATAAGAAAACAATTCCTCTTAAGAGCTGTTGTTCCCTGTTCTATTAAACGAGAATAGAGGTGCTGGAGAGGACATCCCAGCTGCTTACATCAAAGTAGAGAGCTTACAACTTACTGCCCCACTATGGTGGAAAGTGATGGGGGTAGGGCCTGCGCAAGCTCAGGAGGGGAAAGCAGGAAAAGCACCTGGGTTGGGGGTTGCTGTTGTGTTATTTTGGTTGAATCTTGAATACATCTCTGGCTATAACACACTTCAGAAAAATATAACTGCCCAAAAGATATTTCAATAATTTATTTGTATCTAAAAGACTGAAAAAGAAAATCCAACTGCAAATACCAATAAACATTCAATTAAACACACTATGCCCAGGTTTCCAGAGTCTTACTTCAGTTTGGGGGAACAGAGAGGTAAACAGAAGACCAGAAAAGTTAACTAAACCAAAAAGCATCTGAGCAACTATACTGGTGTAACTCATAAAAACTGACCAAATTTCAAAAAACAGATATTGGTTTATAGGGAAATCTTGGCTTGATACAAGTTTTACTATGAACAAATTGGATTCAAAAGACTGGATTCATTTTCTCCAAATAAAACAGCAGTGTTCTGTATGTTGTCTGTTATTTAAGTAATAGTACTTTTAATGCACAGGACTCAGGGGTATCCCAGGCCAGCAACCAGCAGTGTGGAGAATCACTCTTGCCATCAAGAGGGTGAGAGGACTCTGTACCGGCCACTGCATCACGGTTTCCTCTAAAGTGAAAACCAGGGCACCCAGATGACATACTCTGCAGTCAGTCTGTGAATCTTATTTATTGTCAGACACGGGGGGGGGGGGGGCTTAATGGGCATGTATTTTTATCTTCCAAACTCCTGTGCCTACACGGATTCTAAGACCAAAACTGAAATAAGTGGATGCACACACTGCCGGATGCACACACATTCGGGTCCAGCCGAATGACAGGCATGTCCTCTGCTACAAGGGACTTCGATAAGCTGGCAGTCACAGGGTCTGACCTTCTTATTTCTGTTTCCAAGTGACTATGCAGATCTGAGTAATCCACTGACTTCACTCAAAACTTAATTTCCTTTCCCAAAAGCGGCATGAAGAAACCTACTGCGCGCGCGCACACACACACACACATACACGGAAGGAAGGAAGGAAGGAAGGAAGGAAGGAAGGAAGGAAGGAAGGAAGGAAGGAAGGAAGGAGGAAGGAAGGAAGGAAGAAAGGAAGGAAGGAGAAAGACAAAAGGAAATGATTATTTGCAGAGTCCTTAAGAATGATGGCTGCACCCCAGGAAGGGAAAACAGTTACCATCTCCTGGATAAACTGGGAGGGGGGGGTAGAAGGGAGGGCATGGGGGATGGGAACATGAAGGACTGAGATGGCCCAGTTGGGGGAGGGATGAAGAGGGAGAACAAAGAAAGAGATATCTTGATAGAAGGAGCCATTATGGGGTTAGGGAGAAGCCTGGTGCTAGAGAAATTCTCAGAAATCCACAAGGATGACCCCAGCTAAGACTCCTAGCAATAGTGGAGAGGGTGTCTGAATGGGTCTTCTCCTATAATCAGATTAGTGACTACCCTAATTGTCATCATAGAACCTACATTCGGTAACTGATAGAAGCAGATGCAGTGACCCACAGCCAACCACTGGGCTGAGCTCCTGGAGTTCAGTTGAAGAGAGGGAGGAGAGATCACAAGAATAAGGGGGGGGGTGGTCAAGACCATGATGGAGAAAACCACAGAGATATCTGACCCAAGCTAGTGGGAGCTCATGGACTATGGACTTACATCTGGGGAACCTACATGGGATCAAACTAGGCCCTCTGAATGTGGGTGACAGTTATGTGGCTTGATCTTTTGGTGGGGGCCCCTGGCAGTGGCACGGACCTATCGCAGGTACATGAACTAGGTTTTTGGAGCCCATTCCCTATGGTGGAATACCTTACTCAGCCTTGATGGGAGAGGGGGACGGGGAGCTTGGTCGTGCCTCAACTTGGTATGCCAGACTTTGTTGACTCCCCAAAGGAGGCCTTACCCCTCTGAAGTATGGAGGGGTGGGTAAGGGGCAGGAGAAGGGGAAGGAAGGAGAACTGGAGTTAGTATGTAAAATGAAAAAAAATTGTAAATAAAATAAAAGAGTGATAGTTGCAAAAGAACTCCAGTACCTTCTCTTGCAATTTCAGAGCCATACACGCTCTACTGACTAAGCATGGGTGTGCAGAGGCCTGAGGCTAACGTTGGGAGTTTTTCCTTAATGATTCTCTATCTTATTCTTTGAGGTAGGGTCTCTCAATTGGACTCACACTGATAAAACTAGTCTAGCCAGCTAGCCAGCCTGCTTTAGGGGTCCTGTCTTCACACTGAGCATAAGAAATCACAGGCAGGCTGCCACATTCACCCAGCATGTATGCGGGTTCTGGAGGGCCAAACTCTGGTACTCACACTGTATACCAAGCACCCTACCCATTGAGCCAGCTCCTTAGCCCAGGGTGGTTCCTTAAGAAAGCTGTCTAGCCGAGCGTTGGTGGCGCACACCTTTAGTCCCAGCACTTGGGAGGCAGAGGCAGGTGGATCTCTGTGAGTTCGAGGCCATCCTGGTCTACAAGAGTTAGTTCCAGGACAGCCTCCAAAGCCACAGAGAAACCCTGTCTCGAAAAACCAAAAAAAAAAAAAAAAAAAAAAAAACCAGAAAGCTGTCTAAGGACATAAGGACATCCCTGGCTCACTCAAGGAGAAGTGGGCCAGCACCAGGAAGGCAGACGATCCCCGCCCTCAGAGTCACTTTACCTCTGTCCTGACTATAAGTTTTATGCAATAAGAACTTACAACAGAATTAGATTTCTTGTAAATCTTGTATCAGATTTGCAAATCTTCAAGTGAATGCAAATAATTCAGGCAAAGAAGTCAGAAAATTACAGCTCCCACTGCTGATCTGAGAGGGAGAAATATAAACAAACACAACGATTACCTCCATCTGCAGAGCTTCTGCCAATCCTCTTATGGCGAACTTGGAAGAAGAGTAGGCCGTGTAACCGAACAGCCCCAACTGTCCTGCCTGAGAGGACACGAACACGATTCTGCCCACCCGTCGCTCCTTCATGGTGCTGATCACTGCTCTGCTGGGGTACACGCTGCCCAGGTAATTTACGCTCATTAATTTCTGCAAGGAGCAAAGAGGCCACATGAGGTGGGAACAAGGTCAAAAGCCTAAGCCATGCTCAAGGGTAGTTTTGTCTCTTTCCAGGGTTAATTTCTTTTAAATAGAGACCCATGTTGGTTTGAATAAGTGTTCCCCATAGACTCACCTATCTGTAGGCTTGGTTCCTAGTTTATGAACAGTTTGGAAGGATCAGGAGGTGTGGCATTGATTAAGAGGTGTGGCATTGATGGAGGAGATGTGTCTCTGGGAGTATGCTTTGAGATTTCAAAAGTCCGCACCAGGCCCTGCGTCTGTCTGTCTGTCTCTGCTGTCAATCAGGATGTAAAGCTCTCAGCTACTGCCCTAGCACCACACACCTGTCTGCCTCCCGCCATGATGACAATGGACTAAACCTCTGAACCGTAAGCCAGCCCCAGTTAAATGCTTTCCTTTGTAAGAGTTGCTTTGGTCATGGCGTCCCTTCACAGCAATAGAACAATAACTAAGACAAGCCCAAGAGACTGGGAGGTGGGGCGCAGCAGATTTACTGACTAAATGAGTACATGAATGATGCCGTATATTATACAGACACTTAGGACCTACCCTCCGATGACTAGTCCGATCTAGTCTTCCATTCTCACAGTGACAGACGTTCCACCTTTGATGAAAAATTTCAGGCTGGGCCCAGGGTTCAGTTAGGAAAGCGCTTGCTTTGCAAGCACGAAGACTTGAGTCTGGATCCCCAGAGCCGTCACAAAAGATTTGCTGGGCATCAACCCAAGCGCTGGGAGGAAGAGGGCAGAGACAGGCAGATCCCAGAGGCTTGCTGGACAGTCCCAGCCACTGTAGCCAAAATGGTGAACTCCAGGGTCAGTGAGAGAATGATATAAGGTAGAGAGGGACAGAGGAGGACTGTCAGCATCAACCTCTGCCTCCACCATGCACAAACACAAGTGGTCAAAATCAGTGTTCTCCTTAGAAAGGGTACATTGCATAATATAGGTAATGTTGCACAGTGATATTTTTAGGTATGGGTATTTTGCCTCCAACTACGTCTGTATACCATGTGTGTGCAGTGCCCACAGAGGCCAGAATGGGACACTGGATCTACTGCAGCTGGGATTAAAGACAGGTGTAAGATGCTGGAAACCAAACCGAGGTCCTCTGGCAGAGTAGCAAACACTCTTAACCCCCTAAGCTTTCCTTCTAGGTCCTTGTAAGTAATGATTCTTAAAAGACAGCTTTAGGAGACGGCTTCTAAGTATTTCTGGCCTATTAGTTCCAAGCTAAGCGAAGATTACAAGGAGAAAATGGCATCAGCTAACAGTGAAGATGTGAGCTGAAGCCTTGGTGCAGCCTATTGACTTCATGAGAAAAAGACATTGCCCATTTTCTCAGATGAAAATGGGGTTAATCTCGGAATTACCTCAGGATGCTGCAGGGATTAAGAGGGAAACACAAGCTAAGCAGTAGCACAGATCCTGGTGCACAGTAAGAACTCAGTCTACACTGGCTTGTACACCAGGAAGGGTAAAAGCCCACACTGGGGCTCAGCTTCTCATCACTAGAACTCTTAAAACCTTAGCTCAACTTGAAGCCTGAAGATGCTCACAGTAACACCGCTATACAGTGAAAGTGTTCCTCTGTCATCTTGCAAAACAAAACAGCCCAGTTGGAGACCTAAACGTAAACCACGACGACAATGTGACGAGGACTGCAAACACAGGAGGGAGAATGATTTATGATATTAAGTTTTTAAGAAGTAGAAGGCAAGAGACATGTAGACTGTAACCTCACTATTTTATTTTACAAAAGCCAAGAAAAACAGGAAAAAAAGCATATCCTCAGAATATGCTTTAATATCACTGTATTGTTTTAATTTTTAAGACTTATTTTTATTTTATGCATATCAGTGTTTTGTGTGCATGTATGTGTGTGCCTGGTGGGCACTAGATACCTTGGCACTGGAGTTGCAGATGTGAGCAATCAGGTGGGTGCTGGGAACTGAACCTGGGTCCTCTGCAAGAGCAGCAAGCACTCTAACCACTGAGCCATCCTCCTGCCCCACATTATACTGTTTTAGGAGTGAAAAATTGAGGAAGAATAAGACCCTATGCTCACCTCAGTTCTTTTTAGAGCTGAAACCCACTAAAACACCAGTAATAGTATGTTTATTTATCTGTCTGTTTTGGAGACAGGGTCTCACATTGTAGCTTAGGCTAGCCTGAAATTCACTTCATAGCCCAGGCTGGCCTCAAACACATACTTATTCTCCTGCCTCAGTTTCCCAAGAGCTGGGCTTATAGGTACGAGCCACTATGCCCAGCTAAGAGAGGTTCCCCGCTCCCATCCAAGAGAAGAAAATAAGTAAAAGTGAAAGGAAAAGCAACAACATTTTGAAAGCTGGAGAACAGAATAACAAGTGTAGTTAACATGCTTGGCCAAGACACAGAAACTGGAGGTTGAATGGCAACAGAGAAACGAAAAGGTGGGATTGTACAACACAGCCGCAGAGGCTCAAATGCACCAGGAGCTTGTGGGATGGAGCTGCATCGGGTAAAGAGAGTCCACATATCCACTGACGATAAACAAACACATTGCAGTATGCCCACACAATGGGACCATCACCAACCCAGAAAAGCAAATGAAGCATTGATGTACACTATCGCATGAAGGGACCTTAAGATCATTCCGCTAAGTGGAAGAGGCCAGACACAAGAGAAGATCATACAATTCTATTATTCAGCTAGACAGACACAGGTTCGTGGTAGCCAGGGACTAGAATAAAGGTTTGGGACAGTGAGAAATACCTGACTAAGTACAGAGTATCCTTTGGGGAGACAAAAACGTTTTGGAATTAGATGACTACACATCACAATATGCTAAATGCCTTCGAATTGTTCACTGTAAAATAGCTAATGTGCGAGGCTGAGACCAGTCTGGTGTGCACAGTGATATGGCATCTCCAACAAGCACACCTCATTTTATTTTATAAGAATTTCAGTTCACTTTTGAAAAACTGACATGGCAACAAAAAACAGTTAGATCTTAGTTGTATCCTGCCTGGCAGAATACAGAATTTCTAGGAAGGACTGGTATACTTTAAGTGGATGAGATCTTCATTTACCCAGAACATCTGTCTAGACACTGAATGCAGACTCCACTCTAATACTGGGGCATGCAGGAACTTCCTAGGCAGAAGCCTAGAAGACCTACAGATACTGACCCCAAAACACCCACTAAGACATGGCCCAAACCATCCCCTACAGAGAGCTCTACCCATGGACACAGAACTTTACATCTGTACAATGTGAAAACATAGACAAGGGTTAGCAGACATCCTGTAAAACCTCCAACACAAAACATAACACCAGCCTCTCCGAAGAAACACACACACACACACACACACACACACACACACACACAAGAGCGATTCTGGTAGACCAAAAGATGATTCAACATTCACAGCACAGGTAAAGATAAAGAAATGGAAAGGAAAGCCATTAAAAAGAAAATTAAAAAGTGGTGAGGGTCCTGGGGCCATCCCAGGCTTGGCCACTCACTAGCCGGCCCCAAAGTCCTCAGCAGACAGTGGCAGAGATGTTCCTACAGGAAAGGACCACAGCAAAATCGCAGAGGGGAAAGAGCAGAGAAAAGGCCAGAACGAAGTGGGTGCAATCTCAGCAATGCCACCCAAAGAAGCCACCTGGGGCCACTGAATCATCCCACCAATGAGCTGTGTCTCCTCCTCAGTGACACCATCACACACGCACCTAGATTTACACACTTCGTTGCTTCTATTTTTATCCAAAGCTTCATGACACACCCGTGATTACCCTGGCACGCCCATTCCTCCTGCTCCTCCACACACACCTTACTTCCTGGGGGGTCTCAGCATTCAGTTTAGTGACTATTTATTCCTCAATCCAGGCTTTTCTTTTAAAATAATTTATTTAATGTTTTTATGCATATCGATGTAAGGGTGTCAGATCCCCTGGACTTGGAGTTACAGCCAGTTGTGAGCTGCCATGTGGGTGCTGGGAATTGGGTCTTCTGGAAGAGCAGCCAGTGATCTTAACCACTAAGCCATTTCTCTCACTCCCCCCGCTCAATCCAGTCTTTACCCCGATTCTCAGCAGAGTCTGAGTATTCCTTATGGCATCATCTTATACATGCACACACACATACTCACAAATCAGATAAACACACAGACATATGCATACTCACACAACCCATTTCTCTGTTCCTGGCTACCCCTTGAGTCTTTTGCTTTATTATTTCATATTTAGACACAGCTGAGACATAATCTCTCAAATCTCGCCCCATCCTTCCCAGATGACCGTATGAAGGTACGAACAACCCTCTTGTATGCCAAGCTGATAACAGCATCACAGACCCGCAGGTCCTACCATTCTGATTTTTGCTACCCTATGCTTCTCCGGGAGGCCTTGGGTACATCTGCGAGTGCGTGGTGCTTCCTACAGCCTGTGAGAATACCGCTCTGATACTGGCCCAGCAGGCTCGTTTTCTATAAGAATGGAGAGCAATTTAGCTTCACAGAGTCAAGCTTTCTAGCCCATTACCCTGACAGAAGCTGAGAACACTGAAAACAAGACTGATGTATTGTCAACCACATATGCTTTGCACTTAGATTTCAAAGCCAATGTCCACTTATTCACTACTAAAGTAAACTAGTAGCTGAGATTCTTGGTGGGCCTGTTTTAAAACAGAAGAGACAGCACCTTGATTCCAGGTGAGCAAGCACCAGTCACTTACCTCAAAAGTACTAACTTCAAGTTCTTCAAACTTTCCTGACAGAGACATCCCCGCACAGTTGACCAGCATGTCCACAGGACCCAGCTTCTCTTGTGCCTGGAAGAACAGTCCCGAACATTACACACTGTTCCAAACATTACATGGCAGAATGGAAGACTCACTGTGCAGAAAAACAAAGTCAACAAATAAAACCCACTGATCATATAGAAAGAGCTGCTAACGCCAAGCCACATAGCAGGATGGCAGGAAGCAATCAAAAGCCAAGCAGTGAACCGAGATCACCGACCTGCCTTTTACCTGTTTTATGACATTCTCCACTTGGTTATAGTCTTGAGACACATCGACTGAGATACAAAGCACCACCTGTTAAAAAGAAGGAAAAAGGGGGAGGGGTCAGGGCCTGCAAGGTGGTTCATCCAGTGAGGGTGCCTGTCACCAAGCCTGATGACCCAGTTCTATACCTGGGACCCACATGGTGGAAGGTGAGGACTGACAGACTGACATCTTTGAGCTGTTCTCTCTCTCTCTCTGTCTCTCTGTCTCTCTCTGTCTCTCTCTCTGTCTGGTGTACACACACACACACACACACACACACACACACACACACGTGTATGCAGGTGTCAAGACTAGTGTTTTTTGAGACAGGGTCTGGCTACATAGTCCTAGCTAGTCTTGAACTTAGTATATAGTCCAGGACAGCTTGGGGCTCACAGTGGTCCTCATGTTTCAGCCTTCCAAATACCAAGATTACAAAAATACAAGTTCTATCAAAACCATTTGTAAAGCATAATTTTTAAAAATTAAAGCCAACTCGTGACAATAATGAAGGCCAAAGCTGGGACATAGTATCTCAGTATTTGAAATCTGCTGCCAGTGTAATTAATGGAAGAGTACACCCACAAAATACTATGCGGGTATGGGATTGTGACAAGGGACATGGCGATGGGTGACACAGTGAACAGGCAGGCTGGTACTACATTTGTATCCCCGGTGCCAGGTTAAAGTCTTGGTCTGTGGTGCCATTGGCAGGTGGTAGAAGCTTTGAAAGGTGGGGTCTAAAGGAAAGCATTTAGGTCACTGAGGTGTGCCCTTAAAGGGTAGAGGAAAGCATTTAGGTCACTGAGGTGTGCCCTTGAAGGGTAGAGGAAAGAATTGAGGTGCGCCCTTAAAGGGTAGAGGATATTGAGCCCCACCCCCAGCCCCATTTCCCAGCCATTAAGAGATGAACAACTGCCAGGCGCTGGTGGAGCACACCTTTAATCCCAGCACTTGGAAGGCAGAGGCAGGCGGATCTCTGCGAGTTCGAGGCCATCCTGGTCTACAGAGGGAATTCCAGGACAGCCTCCAAAACAATACAGAGAAACCTTGTCTGGAACAAAAAAAGAGAGAGATGAACAACTTTGTTTTTTTTTTTTTTGCCTTGTCACAGGTCCCAAAGCAACAGTAATTTTTAGTATATACACAAAGAGACCAAAACAAAACAGAACAGAGAGACAACACTGAAAAGCTGCAACAAACAAACACAAAAATGGAAGCAACTTCAATTTCTCTGATTACAGAACAGAGAAATAGAAGTGGCTTGTGGATGCAACTACATATTACACACCAGTAACAAATTCTAGTGAACTGGGGTATGATGGTGCATGCCTATCGCTGCATCTGGTTAGGAGGCGGAGACAGGAGAATCATTCGAGCCCAACCCGGACAGCACAGCCACAGGAAGAACCACTTCAAAATGAAAGATAACACATGAATTATTTTATTCAGCAGTGCGGGTGAGTTTTTTAAAGAATAACATAGAACGAAGAAACAAAGTTGCATAACACTGCATAAAATTCTCACAATGTCACACAAAATGTATCAAACTATAAAGTTTATTGGTACTTGGCCTAGGGCTCAGAGGGGTAGGACAGGAATGGGGAGTGACTGTTGGGAACATTCCAAAGTTGAATGTGGTTATGATTACACAACTCTGCATGAAAACCCAGGAAATGTGTGTCTTAAATAGAGCGAATGCACACTGAGGGAATGGTTTCATGAAGCAGGTTAAGAAGATAACAATAACGCCAAAGTTCAAACAGATACAAAACGTTAAAGTATAAATATATATACATACACACACATACAAAACTTTAAAGTATAAATATATATACATATACACACATACAAAACGTTAAAGTATAAATATATATACACATACACACATGCATACATACATATGCATGCTAGTTAGGGGCTGAGATGGCTAGTTAGCAAAATGCTAGTTATGCAAGAGTGAGGACCTTGAGTCTGGATCCCCAGTCCCTGTTGCAGTCTCAGTGCTGGGGATGTAGAGACAACGAAGGGAAGCTTGCTGGCCAGCAAGTCTAGTGAATTCATGAGCTCCAGCCTTACCAAAAGCCCTTATCTCAAAAACGTAAGAAGGAGAGAGAGTAAGGAGGACATTCAGTGTCCACCTGTGGCTTCCACAAGTGTGTGCACATGGATGCATGCATGTCAGTACAGGTAAACACACAGATGTGTGCAAACACCCACACAAAATACTATATGGGGACACACTCACTACCAAGGATAGTAAAATTTTAAAGAAGAACAAAGAATGAACATCAGAGCTGAGCTTGAGGTAGCCTCTAGGAACAAGAGCCTGGTACTGGGCACAAGGCTTGGGGAGAAGGCATCAAAAATTCCATCACATCCCATTTCTTTAAACTAGATAACGGATATGATGTGGTTATCTTGTCACTGAGCTGTACATTAAAATATATATTGCACTGTATATCATTTTGGTACCCCAGATTTCACAGCTAATTTTTTTCATATGTCCTTTCTACCTAAGTTTGTTTGTTTTTTAAATAACTGAAATGAAATCATTTTCTCAAACACCACTGCTTGGCCATTTTTAGGTATGTATGGAAGTCTATACTTTTGGTTTCTGTACTGACTCAAATCCTAGGCATTTCAAACTATTTTACCGTTTAAAGGGATTCTAGAATGTATTTTAATTGGGAAAGTCACAAATGCCCTCAGTGATCTACATGCAGCAGAAACATCCTTTCTCCCCTTCAGACACTGCCACTCAGGATAGAAAATGAACCCTAAGGCTCCTCCTTACCTGTTTATCATTGATAGAATGTTTTTCAATTTCTTTCTTCGCTTGCAGCAGCTTGTCCTAAAAGCAATACAGGGGGAAAAAATGTCTACATTTGTTAAAAAGGAGAGAGAAAGCAACTGTTTGAACAGATACTACATTCTGTAGACAGAACCTAGAGTAGCTAACTATGAACTTGAGAAAGAAGAGGCCAAATATGGGAGGCTATGAATAAGCCATAGCACGTCTTTAAATTCATTGCAGAGATAAAAGAAAAATAAATGAACCTCAAGTCCCGATTAACAGTACTTGTGTCGATGGTCGGCCTATTGATACTAACAGCCATTTTCATCTGCCAGTAGTGAGCTGTGACACAGTGACACATCTTCCAGCAGTTAGCCATGACACAGAGTAAACACATGGCAACACAATGTTCTAGAAAGTTAAGGGTGTGTGACTGCACATCAAGAGGGCTTATGTAAGATAGCATCAGTATTTCCTTCCTTTCCTATTAAAAACAGAGTAAAAAGCCATCACTTGGCTTTCAAAGACACTCCTCAAACCTACAGAGCCACGCAGACAATTGCAAAGTTTTTCCAAGTCCTCCATTTTGTTTTGTTATTTTCAAACAAATCCAAGCTCGCAGAAGCATAACTTGTCATAGAATTAAATATAATCTGAGAGCTGTAAAAGAACAAAGGAAAAGGGTCCTGAAGTCCTGGGTTCAATCCCCAGCAAAGCTAGAACCATGCCTGGAGTTACACAGGAGGTAGAGGTGGGCCATCAGAAGTCTGACGAGGCCATCATCTACTAGCCTGTGACATGGAAGACTTCGTCTCATAAAGTGGAGTTCACACACACGACTGTCTATGACAAAATCAGACATTCCTATTGAGTGCTAGGGATCTTACACAGACAGACACATACACACTACCTGACTCTGCCAAGACTGCAAGGAAAGGTTAGAAGTGAAACTAACGAGTGTCTTCAGGTCGGGAATCTTTCCGTATACTCAGTCAAATATGACCCCCATGTGAGCTCCTGCTAGCTCTGGTACCAGCCCCCCCCCCCAGCTCTCATGTCAAATTCTAGCTTTGCTAAAAACTCATCAAGTGGCATTTTACGGCATCCAAGGCTCCATTCATGTTAGATAACTTTAAAGTGTGTATAACCAAGCCCAGCCACTCTCTTGGTTTAAAAACGAAACAGATGCTTTAGACTGATTCTGGGTCATTATTTTTATGTTTTCTCCAGAGATCCTTTCTGGCTTGCCTTCCCCACTAGGCTTTTCCAACTAACCACCCCTACCTAGGCAGCTAATCACCCAGGCAGCGGTGCCACACCTTATTTTCCCTTTCTTTTTCCTCTCCTTAAAGACAGGGTCTCACACGTAGGCCAGGCTGACCTCTAATTGGTTGGATAGCTGCCGGTGACCTTGAACTTCTGATCCTCCTGCCTTGTATCTCCCTAGTGCTGGGGCTACAGGCACACACTTCGTGCTGAGTTCTACCTAGAGTTGACTCACATCCCAGGGAAGCACTAAGCCAACCACACAAGTGTCAACCCCCTCCTCTTTCATTTCATTGTTCGACAGAACCGTCTAGGTCTGCTACACGCCAAACAAGACCTATCCTCTGTAGAAAAGAGCTGTGACCATAGAGCCATGTCACTGTCCTAGGCCCTGAAGAGGAACAAAACAGTCTCTAAAAGCAACTTTGGCAGGACTACACCCCCAATATAAAGAAAGCCAGCCCCCTGAATTGGTTAGACACAGGAAAAACTACATTGCGACACATATTGGGAGGGATGCAACTACCCTGGGAAATGTGGACTCCACCAAGGATGCCTGTGATGTCATAAGCAAATTACAGAGAAAAGCAACAGATAAACACCTACACACCACCCTGCACTGGCTTCTAAAATGCTGCCGCTGGCACAACTGTTTGCCTTCAGCCTGGTGTGCTTCTTAACAATGCCTCCAGTCTCCCCTCGAGTTTGGTAATATCTAGAATGATAGTGTGTGTCACGTTAACAGCAGTAGATAAGTACCCGGTGAGTTGATCCAACCTCAGCAGAGAAGTCCTTAGCCTCAATACAAGAAAGAACCAATTGTTTAGAAGCCCAGATCAGGGAAGAAGGTTTCCCAACACAGGTGTGAGCACCAAGATCCTCTCTTGGACTTACTGCATTAGTTTGTTAGCCATAAGGACCCGAGAACACTTACCTCATTTCGTGCAACCAGAGTTATAAATGCTCCTTGTTTAAAGCACTCGATAGCAATGCACTTTCCGATGCCACTGGAACCTCCCGTGACCTACAAAGAACACCAGTAAGACCATCTCAGCACTTGCAATGTCTTCTGTACAAAGCCTACTTAAAATAGCTGTGATGGGAGCAGTAGGAGTGTAGCTCAGTTGCAGGCACTTGCCTAGTATTTATGAGGTCCTGGATTTGATCTCCATATGACACAATTTTGGGTTGATGTGGAAAATCATTTTAAGGTGTGTTTATGCTGTGGAACATTTGTTTAGCGATGCAAAGATGTGTTGCATTCTTTTCTGTTGCATGTGTTTAACTCTGTGAAGCTGTGATTCTTTGTCTAAATACCCGATGGTCTAATAAAGAGTTGAATAGTCAATAGAGAGGCAGGAGAAAGGATAGGTGGGGCTGCCAGGCAGAGAGGATAGGAGAGTTAATGAGAAAAGAAAGAGCAAGAAGGAACAAGGAGAGGACATTGAGGGCCAGCCACCCAGTTACACAGCAAGTCACGGAGAAAGAAGTAAAGATACACAGAAATAAAGATAAAAGCCCAGAGGCAAAAGATAGGATAATTTAAGATAAGAAAAGCTGGCCAAAATAAGCCAAGCTAAGGCTGGACATATATACATATGTGTGTGCTTTATCTGGGAGCTGGGTGGTGGGCCCCCAAAAGACAAAAGAGGCCAAAGAGTAATAAAACCAACAACAATAATGGGTTTTAAAAACTCATCTACAAGTCAGGTGTGGTGGAACTCGTCCACAAGCTTGGCATGCAGCGATCAGGAGTTTAAGGTCGAAGCCATTCTCATGGACAGTTTTTCATGAAACCAGGACAGCATGAGGCCCTGTCTCAGAAACAAAACAAAACATACAAGCCTCAAGAACCACAACCTCTTCATAGCCGATTTATCACTTGATATAGTGCAAGCACGAAGGATTATACTACAGCAGAGACTCCTGCTATGGCCGTTTCCACGGCTGGGCTACGCACCGCACATCTGTTTGAGGTCACCAAGGGGGATGGGCCCTACAACTCTAGCTAAGAAAGAATACATTAGTGTTGCAGATTATAAGTACAGATGAATCTCATTTCCTTACTGCACATCTACACAAGACTGGGTCTAAGAAAACATGTTACAGGACCAAGGATAATACAGGGCCAACCGAGGTTGGTGGTAGAGCTCTCTTGCCTAACACTGGCAAGGCCCTGGGTTTGATCCTAAAGAAGATCCCTACATGCATGCATGTTATGTTGTCAAGGTTGAAAGACTAAAAGGCTTCACAACACTGTGTTTAAAAATCTCTATCAAGGCCAGGCAAAGTAGTGGTGCCACATGTCTTTAACCCTAGCCCTCTGGAGGCAGACGCAAGGCATATCTCTCTGAATTCAAGCCATTCTGGTCTACAAAATGAGTTCCAAGACAGCAGAGCTATGTGACACCTGTCTCAAAAACAGAACAAAAACCACTTCTGTCAAAACCTAGCCATTTCCCATAGTCATACATTTGAATTGCTGTGAATATTTTACTATTCTAAAACTGCAGAAAGAACATCTCCCACATTATAATGTTCATATTATCATGGAACCCTCCAAGCGTAGATACGTATCTCTGTGCACTTGAGAATGCCTCCTCTCTCTTTAGTCTCACCTTTATTCTAATGGTGAGGTTTACTTGGTTGATAATTAACCAAATGCCTACTGAGATGATTTTATAAATCATACCTGTCATCTTGGCTCAGTGTTGTGTCTGAGGAGGCTTTTGATACTCGGATATTTTATGAGCTGTTTTGGTTTGTTACATTTCACTCTTGGCATTTGGCAGGCTCTCTAAAATGTCCTCACAAGCCTTACGATGCTGCCTTAGCTGCTTAGCCATCCCTCTATGATACATCACCTCACCCGAGTACTTCCAAGCCCTACTGCCCCTGCAGAAAGCAGTTTAAATGTCCCCACCTCAGGGAAGCTCTTCCTGAGTACATCGGTCAGTCATATGGTCTGTCATCTACGGACCTTTCAGAGCTGTTGGGATCTTCTTCTTGGCTTCCCAGCTCGGCTATCAGAGCCTTGTGGGTAAATACCAAACCAGTCCATCTCTTTCATCATTGACAGTACCAGCCCGTCATATAAGCAGGCACTAAATAAATACTTTCCTCCATTTGCGGGAATGTTCTCTAATGCCATCCCTTTGGGAAACTATGATGCCAAAGTTTACAGATAAAATTTCCCGACGGGTGTTGGTGGAGCACACCTTTAATCCCAGCACTTGGGAGGCAGAGGCAGGCGGGTAGATCTCTGTGAGTTCAAGGCCAGCCTGGTCTACAAAGCTAGTTCCAGCCAGCCAGAGCTATACAAAGAAACCCTGTCTTGAAATCCCACCCCCCAAAAAAGTTCCTATTTATTCTTAAGTAGACTGATGGAAATAGAAATGAAGTAACCAAGAAAATGTTTAGCCTCCAAAGTATTATGTTAATATCAGCCAGGAGTTTCAGGAAAGTGAATGGCGTCAATTCACCTTAAAGAAAACCCAGATCCATACCCTGCAATTTATCAACTTTCTATAGCAAGCAAGACCTGGCTTTTGAATGTGGGTGTATAAAAATGATATTCTAGCCAAGCCCAGTTACTTCTTGAGTGACATGTAAGAATATAGTTAGGCTAATTCTGGACTGTTATTATTCTGGATGCTATGAGAGCTATCAGGATTTTCACAATGGTTGCGAAAACGTTAAATGTATAGTCGTCTAATATCTACTAAATAGAGGCCAGGTGGAGGGCATGAATCACTGTAAATACCATTTAAATGGTCCCAACTCCTTAACCACAGCATTCAGCACTCACTACGGGCACTACGAGCTTGCCTGCTACTGGAAGCACTAATCTCAGCCATGCAAAAAAACCAAAAAAACAAAAAAACAAAAAACACAAAACAAAACAGGAACTCTGATACAAGCACCTAGGGGTGAGCAGGCGGGCACAGCGCCGCTGCTGCGATCAGAGGGCATCAGCATTTGGGAACTGCTCTAAAAGTGAAGCAGAAAACAATCACAAGTTGCTCATGCTGACACACAGGTGGACAGCTAAATCACACTTTACTGTTCTTAGGATATTAAAAAAGACAGATGGTGACGTCATATGCATAATTCATGTCATGTCACGTCAGCTATCGTGATACACATATATGCACACATAGAGGTAATTATATATATATATGAATAAGAATTATTGTCTAATGAGACAGCCCTTATCTCACCTGTGAGGGTGATGGGACACGGGGACAGAAAGATGATTTCAAGGTTATCGGGAAGTACCTTGTAAATGTTGGATCAAAACTTTCATTCTGACGTTGGCTCTCCCCACCTTACCCCTATCTGAGCTACGGTTTGCAAACACAAGTTGTGAAATATGTTTTGTGTGTATGCAGGTGCACCTGTGCAGAGGCCAAAGGTTAACCCCTGATGTTTCTTCACCCACCTTCCACCTTAATTTCTGAGACAAGGCTTCTCATTGAACCGGAGCTCACTCATGTATACAGGAAAGCTGGCAGTGACCTCCAGGGACCCACAGGTCTTGACCCCAGTGTTGTGACACTCTTGATGCTGGGGTTACAGACATAGGTCCAGTGTCCTTGTGGGTCCCGGGAACTCTTAACTCAGGACCTGATGCACTGGCAAGCACTGTACTCCCTGAGCCATTTCCCCATCCTCTAAATTCAACATTTTAAGCCATGATTTTGAAGTTCTCTTGTGAATTTAATACTTTCAAAACTTGACATGACTGTAAAGTCTGGCTTTCTCTTTTTAATAAGTCCTTCTGTATCATGCAACGCAGCAGTTGGGAATAAAAACCAATAATTTTACAAAGGATAAATTTATTGGAAACACATGTTGTCATCCACAAGGCCTTGTATGGGATAAAACACACTAAAATAGTCACCCTATCAGCTGAGTGGGAACTCACTTGGATACATCCAGGGCACTCAGGGGATGCTGACAGCTTACAAACTAGCTGTCCTCCGTATTCAAAACTCCTTGCCTCAATGTGCCTCGGGATTTGAGGTTCATACAAGACATGCATTTGAAATGGCCAAGGTTGAAGCTCTGAACCCGGGAGAGGAGGCTTAACTAAGCCTGCACATTAGGAGCGAGCGATCTTCTGCCTAGAAACAAACCAAACCACTCATATCTCCTCCCATCTTAAGGCCCTAACCAAGCTGGTTAGCTCATCCTTCCGACTCCGGAAAGATGGTAAAGGATTGCACTAGAGCAGCAATCAGCAAGGCTCCCGCTGAGCTCAGAGACAAGCCTGCTGGCCCAAGCTGCCAGGCAACCCCTCAGGTGTGTCCATTCCTAGAACCCTCTGGCTTTGTCACTTGCACATGCCACCCTCCAGTCTCAGCTGCCTGGACTAGTCCCAGAGGCCCGGACCCTTCCTTGCTGCGGTTTCCTTAGGACTCCCTGGCAGGGGCTGCTCCCACTCGAGTTCACGCCCTCATCCTGCCAGCCACCGACCGCTGTGTCCTTGGCAAAGTTTCTCAGTCTGTTGACTGACTCATCGGGAAACCTGAAGACCCAAACACCCGCAACCAGGGATGCTCCGCGGATCAGCAAGCAGCACAGAGCCCAGAACCCCAGGAACTCGGCTGGCGGCTTCGCCGTGACACTGCTCTGCAGTCCAGGGAGGAGCCTGGGGCCGCCGAGGGCAGCTTCCCGAGGCCAGGAAGGGCAGGGCAGTGCCGGGGCGACGGTGGCAGGTGGCCCTTCCCACTCAACCGTCCCTTCCCGGGGCCGTGGTCTCGGTGGCCCAAGCTGGCCAAGCAGACCCTGGCAAGCTCAGCAACAGGAGGCCACTCACCACTACGTGCGCGCCGGGCAGCGCGAGGGGCTTGGGACTGATGAGCGGCGACACCATGTAAAGGAGCAGCACGAAGGCCACGAGGCCGGCAGCAGCCAGAAGCAGCATCTCTCCGCCCGAGAGACCACTGGGAGATCACGCGCACCAGCACCCGGAGTGTTTGGGTTTGAGGGCGAGGGCGGGACGGCGGCGAGGGGAAGAGGAGGAGCCAGGGCGGGGCGGCCTCCGTCGTCCTACTGGCTTCTGGTTCCGCGCCCCCCAGCGTCTGGACTCGGCCGCGCAGGCTCTGCTCGGGTACCCAGAGCCCTTCCGCCAACGTCGTGGGAGGTTTGCAAACGGTGGCTTTCGGATCTTTGGATCTTGTTCCATGCCACAGTCCCGCGATTCCAACTCTGAAATCCCAGGTTCCGGTCCGTATATTCCTAGCGCACTTAGAAAATGGGCACGGCTCACTTTCGCTGTGCACCTTGACTGGGAGTTGTGATCAAGGCAGATGCAATAAAAAACGAGCTGTTGTGGCAGAGATTTAATTCGCGTACCAGAAAATACAATTCACCAATTTAAAGTGGTTTTGGTATAGAGTGTCTAACAATCGCCACAGTCAACTTGTCGCTGTTCACAGAACTCCTGTCGTCATTAGCAGTCACACCCCATTTTCTCTCAAATCGTACCCAGTCAGAGGCAATCTCAAACCTGTCTCTGGATTCGTCTATTCATGCAAATGGAGTTCTATAATACGCCGTTTGTTGTGGTGGCTTCTTTGACTTAGCGTGATGTTTTAAAGATTCTTCCACGGTATGCCTAACGATAAGTTCTTTTAACTGCCTATAGTACCCTACTGTAGGTCAGATCATATTTTATTTTTCTCATTTATCACCTTTTGTACCCCCCCCCCAACAAACAAGTCAATGTTACTGGGCTGGAAAGATGACTCAACAGGTAAGGGCTCTTGCTGTCAAACCTGAAGATATGTACTGGATACTCTGGGGCCCACATAAGAGAAGTGACTCCTGAAGGTTGTCCCCTGGCCTCCACTAATGTGTAATGGCATTCACTATCACAATCACACTCACTGAATAAATGTAGTAAAATCTACGGCAATGTGTAATTTCACACACCGCGCGTGTGTGTGTTTCTCTTGCACTTAAGACCCAGGTCAGTTGTTGGCACTCATGCAAATCTGCTTAAGCAAGCTGTTTTCTTAAGTAGGTGCACAACCGTACATTCACTCAGCCATGAGTTTCAGACTTTCCCACCCTCCACTCTTCTTATCCTCTGTATTATTAAAACTTTTCCTCTGGACACATCACTTTTTTTTTTCCTTTTTGGTAAGGTGCATAGTTTTGATCTTGTCTCATTGATCTTAGTGCCTAGTGCTAAGCTGATTGATACCTTTGAGGACACAATTCCCCGGACTTCTAAAACTAGTTGTAAGTTGAATGGTCCCAAACTCTTTTGGTGAAGGGAAGAGTGCTGGTCAGTCTCCAGAGCTCCAGAAAACTTGTTACACTTGTGATTACGTTTATCAGAGGATAAGGACACAGATTAGCACCGGCTAAGAACAGTACAGGGCATTGTGGAGGGCTCGAACACAAAGCCGTTTTAGTCCCTGGCTGGGTGTGCTGCTTTAGTTAGCTTCCCTTGGATTGTTGTTGAGACTCAAAGACTCCAAAGGGAACCTGTAAGCCTAAGGTATCATTCTGCCAGATAACTTTGGTCATCTGGGCTGGACAGAGTTGGAGTCTGGCAGTGAGCTCCTATCTTTCAACTCTTCTGAGAGGATCCCCAGGCTGGCTTGATGTATGGCAATGTGGTGAGTGTTAACAACCAAGGAAACTCACCTGCATTTCCATATCCAGAATTGTTTTTTTGTTATTGTTGTTGTTGCTTTTGTTTTTTTGTTTGTTTGTTTTTGTTTTGTTTTTCAAAACAGGGTTTCTCTGTGGCTTTGGAGTCCTGGAACTAGCTCTTGTAGACCAGGCTGGTCTCGAGCTCAGATATCCACCTCCTGCCTCTGCCTCCTGAGTGCTGCGATTAAAGGCATGCACCACCAATGACTGGCTCCATACCCACAGAATTTTGATTGGGACCTCATCATATAGCCTCAACTGAAGGATGTCAATATGGTGGAACTCCATCTGTAAGTAAACTGAATGCCTGGACCAAAGCAGCCACTTAAGTCACTTGGCTCACCTCGGCATCATCAACCCCCACTCTAAAGTCTTGTTTGGCCAGCCTCATTAAAAAATTTCAGCACTTGAGAGGTGAAGCAAGAGGATCCGCCTTTAAGGTCTTTCTCAGCTATACAGCAAGTTCAAGATAGCCTAGACTACATGGTACCATGTAGTACTCTGTCTCAAAACAAAAACAGCAGCAATAACAAAACGTCCAAAGACAGTGATTGTTACTAGGCTCTTACTATATCCAGATGCAGTTAATCATTACCAAATGACCAAAATAACTGGTAGAATTGTACCACTTTGGGTTGACAGGTTCCCATCAGATTATTCTGGGGCTTAGAAAATGATTCTTGAAAAATGCTGTGTGGCAGTTTTTGGTGTGATATTCAGTGGAAGGATTTAAAAATATACTTTAAATGAAAATGTCACTTTCCTCCTCCCTTTCATGCCTCCTATACTTTCCATGTTTCTCCTCACTCAGATTAATAGCCTCTTCTCTGATTATTACATATTATATATGCATAGATCTATAGATGCAATCTGCTGAGCCCAGTTATGCTGTTTGTGTGTATATGGCTTCAAGACTATTTTGTATTGGATAACTGATTAGGGAGATCATCCCTGGGATGTGAGAACTCTCCCTTTCAGCAGTCATCAGTTGCTTTGTCTGGGGGTGGGGATGGCCCCATAGACTCCCCCTTCCTCATTGGCATGCCATTGTCCAGGTCTTGTTTATGCAGTCCTCTATGAATGTTCCACAGAACACTTCCTACGATTATGGCTCTTACAATCTTTCTGCCCCCTCTTCCAGATGTTCCCTCATGTTGCAGGAGCTGTGATGTAGATGTATCCATGGGGGTGGAGCTGCCCAAGATACATTAACCTCTGCATTGTGTCCAGTGTGGTTTTTCTGTGATGTTACCCATTTGCTGTAAAGAGAAGCTTATTGTCTGCTTACCCATGAGGAGGAAGAGGCTCTGGAACCTATATCCAGAGCAGATTGCAAAAAGGAACAAAATCCCATGTCTTAGGGAAAAGGCTGAAGTCTAACCATACCTGAACAGACTTCCATTACAGAACAGTATGCATCCCTTTGGGCTCATTCAAGATCGAAAGGCAGCATCTGTCTTATTTGCCCAGAAATAACTCACAACTCCTCAAAGAGTCCATACCCTTCCACCCCCCTCTGCTGTCAGCAAAGTGTATAAGCCTCAGAACAGAGCCAGACTACTAGGCAACCATATCCCTGGGACTGGTATTCTCCCCTGTGCACTTTCCTAACTTTTTGTCAGTCTATTCCACGGGAAAGTCAGAGAACAGAGAGGAAACCTCTCTGGTCCCTACAGTCCAATCACATTCTAAAACCAGAGCCGTCTTCACTCTGCCTGCATCTGATATAATTAAGCTAAAAAAATAACGAAATATTCCGTGTCTGAATGTGGTGTGTGCAAGGGTGAGCATATTCCTTACCCTTGGTAAAATTCAGGAACAATTTAAAAAATCCTAAGCGATTTCTTAGTGTCATGGCATACTAGACTGCCCTGTCCTTCACAATGTCTGCAGGTTCTTTTCTGAAAGATAGGATAGAAATGTGTGTGGGTATTGATTCCATGGATCTGGTCTACAGAAGCCTCAGGCACAAGCTGAACCCTGCTAGCAATGCTGTTTCCAGTTTATAGACAGCTGCAAGGCCCAGGTAGGCTAACTGAAGAAGTCAGGGGTCTAGCTTTGGCACAAGATTAAATAAGATAATAATTTTTTAAAAAAAAGGATATATAGCATTTTTAGACAATGTTTTTTTAAACTATAAATTAATGTAAAAATCTTGGAAAACAAAAGTTAAAAAAACTAGTAAATATTGCCTTACAGGAGGCTAGGAGGAGCAGAAGCTTGCAAAGGGCTACTTCCTATTGTCAATACCCAAACACAGATTACCATCTCATTCTTGGTTGCTGTAAACCATTTATTAGCTGTTTCTGATGTTAAAAATAAAAAATCCACTTCATACTCATCATCAATGTCTGTAACAAAACAAGGACAATGACAAACGTTGACAAGATGAAGAGACTAGAACTCTCATGCATTGTTGCTGGAATGTAAAATGATGTAGCTACTGAATGACAGCTTAGAGTCCTCAAAAGGGTGAACACAGAAATCTGTATGACCCACAAGATCTATTGCTGGGGATGGAGGCAAAACAGCTGAAAACAGGAACTAAGATAGATACCTACACATCAGTGTTGATAACAATAGTGCTCACAATATTCAAGCTAGAAAAACTTGAAAAGTCTAGCAACAGATGACAACCCAGAGTTACTCCCAAAATGGAATATTGATCAGTATAAGAATGAAATTCTGAGTTCTGCCAGTTTGACGAATCTTGTAAACTTTAAGCTTGGTGAAACAAGCGGAACATCCAGGGCCAAATATACAAGTGCCCTTAGGTGTCTGACTTATTCAGCATGATGCAAACAAACTCACAAGAAAAAGTGGGCTGGTTGTGGTGGCGCACACCAGAAGGATTTGCTGAAGGAGGCAGAGGCAGTCAGATTTCTGTGAGTTCAAGGCCAGCCTTGTCTACAGAGCGAGTTCCAGGACTGCTTCCAAAACTACACAGAGAAACTGTCTCTAAAAGAGAGAGAGAGAGAGAGAGAGAGAGAGAGAGAGAGAGAGAGAGAGAGAGAGAGAGAGAGAGAGAGAGAGAGAGAGAGAGGAATAAAGGTTACTGGGAGCTGAGAGTGGCAGGGAGATAAGATTAATACTGATGGCTGCTCTTAAGGCCACTGAATTACACACTTCAAAATGATTGCAATGGTAAATTCCATGACATATTCTTTTTACCATAATAAAAAGAACATAAGTAATACTTCATGAAATTTAGAAGCAAAGAACAAAACAAATCAATTCACTTTATTACTCAGAGCGAGCTGCCATTAAATTTTGGCCCAAGACTTTCCTCATGACATTTTCTCGATATAACTTCACAATATTTGGTAGAGTTTATTAAAATAATCATTGTTTTTCCTGTGAGTTTTCTTTTACCCCATGTGAAGGCAGCCAGACTGTTACGCTCCCTTGCCTCATATAAACAAAACATAACTCTCTGTAAAAGACTTTCCTGTCCTTAGCTCTCTCTTGTCTCAGTGATCACTGAAGAGATTAAGACAAGTGGCTTTCAGGGGCAGTGAGAGAGAAAGAACTCTGCAGGCAGGAATGGGGACACGGATTTCATGTCACAAAAGTACTGGTCGTGTGATGGCTGGAGTCATCACTCTTGTACCTCAATTGCTGTATTCCTGAACTTAGAGGCTAGGCCTCAGAGGAACTGGCGGGAGCACTGAGGAAGCTCTGTGTGCTCCTTGGCAAATGTTTTTTGTGTGTAGTGCATGCGTGTGTGCAGTATGCAAGGTCACAGGCACACATGTGAAAGGCAGGGGAAGACGAGTGTCTTCCCCTATCACTGTCTGCCTGACTGCCTTCAGGCAAGGTCTCTCATTATCGGAAAGCTATAGATTTTGGCTAGATTAGCTACTTGCAAGTTCCCAGGATCCATCTGTACTTGCCTCCTAACGTTGGGGTTACAGAAACATGCAACCATGCTTGGCTTACGTAAATGGGTACTGGCGATTCAAATTAAGATCTCAATACTTGCATGGCAAATATTCTTACACACTGGGCAGCCCAGTAAAGGTAGCCCTAGCTGGCCCCTATCTCACTATGTAGACCAAAATAGCCCCTATCTCCCTCCCAAGTGCTGAGATAAGTGTGAGCCACTTACACAGCTCAGCAAAAGACTCTTATTCTCTGCTCCTGGCACAGTGAGGGAAGCTGAGTTTCATCATGCACTTACACAATTTAAATGTTGGTAATATATTAAAAGGGATGGAGGTTTTTCTCTTGACACTGTCTTTTGGTACAGTATTTTGAGGAAGTAGAGATCTAAGCAAGGCTAACAACTTTCCTTAAGCATAGAAGACCTGGATTTAGTGATCACATGTAACTAAGACTTCTTTCCCTACAGCGTTTTGAAAATTGGAACCTTCATTGTCCATAGGAAGTGTCTACACCTTGTGGAAGATTCAGTTAACAGCTATAGAAAAAGTCACAGGTTGGGGCTGGAGAGATGGCTCAGAGTTAAGAGCACTGATTGCTCTTCCAGAGGTCCTGAGTTCAATTCCCAGCAAACCACATGGTGGCTCACAACCATCTACAATTCTATCTGGTGCCCTCTTCTGGAAAAACACTGTATGTGTAATAAATAAATAAATCTTAAAAAAAAAAAAAAAGAAAAAGTCACAGGTTAATTCTCTGTGTTGTACCAAAAACTAGAGCAGGAATTTGGAGAAACTATCTTTCCCCTAGAGGAATGATGCTTGTGCAAGTTTACACTTCACTTGAGATTAAAAACTACTGACCAGCTGATTACAGGAGTGCTATACATGCACTGTATTTGTATTTTTATTACTCCATCCTCATGTAACTATCATCTTGACATGTTTTCAGCTATAGCATTTTTTTTGTAAACTCTAGACTTTTCCACACAAGCCTTTAAGAATGCACTGACAATTTTATAGACATCTTTGGATTGAGATTGAAGTTCTACAGAATAAATGTCTACATTCTGTGCCTTGGCTTTCAGAAAAGAATAGTGTCCAGTTACATGTGGGGAGGACAGCCATGGACCTGTTCAGAGAGTTCACATCTGGCGCAAAGTGTGTAGGTATGGCAGCATTCAGTCACCACCAAGTTCCTCTTCAAAATCTTCCAGTCTTGTCCAATCACAATTGCTTTAGGGAGGTCTATGTTTGAGATAATTCTTTTTTTTTTGTATGCAGTAATTTTGGGTTAAGAACATTATGATAATTCCTTACCTGCAAAAGTTCAACATGAACCTTTTAAAATAAAGGACACTCACTCACCAACACAACCACAGAGGTAACAGCACTCTCATGTCTGAGAGAACTCACAACTGTCATGCTATCTCATATCATACTATACTTTTGAATTTCATCTTCCCTTTTCATAAAACAGGGTCCAATCAAGGTTCAAATATTCTGCTGTCTCCCCACCCCACCCAACACTGGTTTGTTTTTTTGTTTGTTTGTTTGGCTTTTTTGAGAAACCAGCCCGCTTTTTGTAGAATTACCCCACATACTTTGACTGATTTGTTCCTTGTGTTCTCTTCCCAGTAGACTCAGCAATTAGGTCTACTGGCAGATTAGGTTCAGATTACATGTTTTTGTTAAGAACATGTCATAAACACATTTCATGTTGCATATGATTCAGAAGCCCATCACTGTTTTCCAACCCACACTTTTCTTATACTGCAATCTTGACATTTCTTTGGGTGGTAAGTGGCAGGGATCCTTGTTTTATCCATTTGATATTAGGTGGGCTTCTGTCACTCCTTCGACCAAGAGTATGGTGACAGTGACTTTTGAGTCTAGCTAGTGAAGGAGGTATAGCTCCACTTTATTGTACGGTGTACTTGTTGGCAACTCTCACAGCAGCCATGCAGCAATGACTTCTTTTGTGGAAACTCAGGCTAGTGTGTCCAAGAAAGTCACAAGCAGAGCCTTGAGCCTTCATGGGAGAAATGTCCAGCCACCTTCAAGAGCTTCTGCTACTCCACTGCTTCAGGCAACTACACAGTATGTAGTCAGTACAATACAAACAAAAATAATTTTAGTTGTCCTACACCCCCTTATACTTTATATTGATTTACTAACTTCACACATATTGTTTATTGTTCCTTTTACGTATCTAAGCTTTGACTTAGGGGCTGGATTCTGAGTCTTCTCCCAGGAGTATAAAGGCTTTCTGGGTAGCACTGGCATTTCCTCCAGCTTTCTAGTCCCTAAAGTTGGTGAGTAGTTGTTTTTTCATTGTCATTGGAGTTCAGAGTATCCATTGTTAAGTTCAGTTTCAACCAATCAAGCAAGTACCTAAAATCACTGTTACCAGCTCAAACCACAACACAGTACAGAATCTCTTGATTGAGCCCACATTAATATATTACATTTGAATTTGAATTTGAAAGATGTTATTGCATTTGTATGAGTATTTTGAATGAATGCATTTATGTGCACCAAACTGTGCCTATGGATTGATGGTGATGTGCTATCATTTGGGTGCTGGGGCCAAACTCCAGCCTTTGTAAGAACAGCAAGTGCTCTCAACCATTGAGACAACTTTATCCCCTTATATTTTAAATCTGAAACTCTTCCTGGTTGACCAATACCATCCATTTTCAGACATCTTCCTGATACTTGTACTTACGCAGATTCTTCTAAATGTTATAAATACATATATTTAAATATTTATGGATTCTGTTTGTTTGTTTTTTCCTCCTTTAACATAACATGGTGAATCTGTATATATACAACTAACACAATCTGTAAATCTACAAGATCAGATACTGAGTTTATCTAGATTATTTTAGAAGTATGACTACAAAAAATGTTTAACACTCAAAGGATATCCCTGGGTTTCTGTCCGTGCTTTAACCACCAACAGCTGCTCTTAGTTTTTATTTTGATTCTATTGCAGCTGCCAGGAAGTTTCTCAACATCCCTTCAGTGAGCATGCCATTCTACATGAAAATGGGGCAATTAACCAGTTTCCTATTAAATGCTATTGTTAGCCACAATCCTATTCCCCTCTCCCTCCACAAAGGCATCCTGATGTCCACACATATGCCCCACACATCATGAAACACAGAAACACAAATATGAAAATGGCTTATGAAGCAAATCCTACCATTCCAGAAGTGTAAAGGTATTAGTTTCCACAAATAAATTTAATCCCTAAAAAATAGATTAGGGAATGGAGCAATAACTCCAAGTCACAGCAATACAGACATCTTTAGGAACATTAAAAATTAAGGTGTGAAGGTCTGAGCTTAGTGCCTTTTAGCATTTGGGAAACAGAAGAAGGTGGATCTCTGAGTTCGAGACCAGCATGGTCTACATAACGAGTTTCAAGTCAGCCAGGGCTACACAGTAAGACCCTGTCTGTAAAATAATAAACTGCAATTAAAGTATCCATTTATCAACACCATTCGGTGATATATTTGACTAATTTATATAGTTCTTTGAAATTTGGATTCACAAAAAATTTCAAGTGTATTAAAATAAAATTATACTAATTCTTATTACTCAAGACTGACCCCAACAGTTTATAAATGATTTATCCACAAACTACATGTGTTAGTTTGAATAAGAACGGCCCTAAAATGTTCATATATTTGAATCTTACTCATCAGGGTGTGGCACTACTTGAGAAGGATTAGGAGGTGTTTCACTGGGGGTAGTGTTTGATGTTTTAAAAAGCCCAACCCAGGCCCAGTGGCTATCTGTTTTCCTGCTGACCACAGATCCTGATGTAGAACTCTCAGCTACTTCTCCATCACCACATAGACCAGCATGCAGCCATGCTCCCCACCATGACAATGGCCTAAATTTCTGAAACTGTATGCAAGCCCCAATTCAATTTTTTCCTTCATAAAATTTCCCTGGTCATAGTGTCTCTTCATAGTCAAAGAACACTAAGAAACTACAAAACCAATTCATTTAGAAAGAATTCAGTGTTGTTCTGCCAAGATAACTTGCAGCTCTCACACAGCAACTGTTGAAGAGAATAATTTTAATTTTTTTTTTAAAGACAGGGTCTTGCTATGGAGCCCAGGCTGGCCTTGAACTCAGGGGTTATAGGCATGCACTTCCACCTCTGATTCCTTCATATATACTCATTTATAATTATAAATTATTTCTTTTTATCCAATGTATTCTTTAACCAATTCAGACATTGTCTCCTATATAAAAGGCCCCAAAATAAGGAATACACAAGATAGCCAAAAGTAGATTATAGCAATTTACTTGACATAAGAACAGTATATTTCAGGCCTATGATTTTCATTGAATAGCAACAAAAATAATCTGTACAGAAAACTTAAAGGCAATCCTATAGCATACCGTGTAAAATGTGCAAATATACTTTAAAATGTAATTATTGTGTATGCAAGGTAGAACTGCATAGCAATTCTAGTTAACCTAGTAATTGTTTGCATGTAGTAAATGCAAATGTCCAAGGCACAACTCAGAGTTGGTACACAAGTGTGTGACACATAACCTCAGATCATTTATTTGAAGCCATTAAAATAGCATGATGCTATGTTTAGCGAGACATCAGTTTATCTCTAAAGCTTCATGAAATGCCACATTGATAATGTTTGTGTGGCTAGGACAAAACTGCTCCCTGAACTTAAAAGTGAAAGACAAGATTCTCACTATTCTGTATTTTAAAAATTATATATTTATATATATATATATACATACACACCACATCAAACACAGGAAACTTCCTAAAGTCCAAAAGGAAGCCATTTTCTTATTATTAAAGGTCCCCATTACAGTATTTTATAACAATTCTTAAAAAATGTATACTTCTTTGCCACCTGTTTTGGTTAATCTTGGCTACAAAAAGACACTGAAGTAGACAGCTTTCTCCTTCCAGTGAAGATGACTAACTTACAAAGTCTCTTGCACAGTGAAAGGTGTCAGGTGGTTATAAAAGCCTGTTGCCTTTTGCGGAATCACTTTAATCTACACAGGAAGAACCAATCCATTGCGAAGCCAACAGTAGCACTGGCTGTGGCATAAACCCCCAAGTTGATCACAGTGTTCTGTGCTTTACCACCCATCCCTGAGAGTAAAGATTCTACCATTTTAATTTTTTAATAAAGCAATAGCTTTACATTGATAAGAATGCTTAAAGATTTTTTTCAAGATATTCATATATCATTAGCTTTAGCCCTATTTAATTTCCTAAAAACAAAAGGAAGAAGGAAGGACATTGTTCTTTGAAAGGGTGCTTGTGAAAATACTAAATGCTGCATATCAATGCATATCAAGCCAAGCTCAAGGCTCTCCTCACTGTTTCAGTTCTCTGCTGCTTTTCATGCCACTGCTCACTTCCTTACCATTTGACAATCTTTGTTAATTAGAGAACTTGACAGGTAGTATAGGAAAAGTACAACACAAACTTAAAGGAACACTGAAGTGAGATGTATATTTTCCTGTGTAAAGAGTTTTACTGGGAATAATCTGAATGTCATTCAAGAAAGGCAAAATACCTACAAAAGAGAAGAAATGTAGAGTAAACATGCTCTTGCTGTCTTTGCACTAGCCTTCTTGGCCAAAATCCTCTGTAAACTTCTTTAACTTCAACAAGTCATGGTCATTGACGGTTGGCTTGGTGCTGGACAGTGACCGCAGCATATCCCACTGTCAGAGAAAAGAGAGTATTAACAATGGACTTAAAACAGTAAAAACTATCATTACTAATTTACAGTCAAAAGGAAAGTCTGCAGTACCATGAGAGCCTAAGAGAAAATCCCTTACTCCTCTTCTTTGTGCCTCTGGGTGCTCATCACCTAGTACAAGGACAGTCCTAGCAGCCAGGGACCATCACCTTCCACAGTCCGGCCCTAACTCTTTCCCTTCAACAACAAGTCTGCTTCCCACTAAGTGTAACTCTGAAGGAAAATGGTAATTTCTCAAGAAATTAATAATTTCATACAATCTCTGTGGAAATTTGTAACTGAAGCAGCAAATTCTGAAAGTTGAGTCTACTAGCTATTCAATAACAGAAAATCCTCTACATTATTTCAATCCTTCCCATGAAAACTGCATTTTGTAGTAACAGGACTATATTCCTTTTGAAATGTACTTACTGAATCATACTCCCTTTATCACAAAAACACATTTATGTACATCACTCAGTTTTACTTAAATGAAGCAATGCTACAGAGTAATGAGAATTTTTTAAGTTAAAACTAATAATGAAGCTGAAAATATGCTAATGTTAGGAAGTCATTAAAAATAAATGGTTCCAGTAAAATTGCATGGGAACTGAAATAAGGAAGAACTCTAAATTATTGTGAATACTTCAAAGCAGTACAGGATACAAAAACCTTAAAAAAAATCTAATCTATCAAGAACTACAACAAAAGGGATTTCTGAATAATCAGATAAGCACCAATGAGATGAACACATACACAGACATCTATCTCTGGTGTCTGTCTATGCAGCCTAAAAAAGTAAACAAAAACAATACTATTTATGAACAGTATCATACAAGAGTTGATATTTCTGGTTATTTTTAAACATGTGAGATTCAGGGGCAAAACTCACATTTTATTTAACTTTTAACAATATTTTATGCAATATACTTGAGAAATCTGTGGATGACTTATATAGCCAGAAAACTGTGCTTTCAAAATATAGCCTTTCCAGTTAACACAAGTCTCACAACTTACGATAATTATTTTTACATCTAAGCACAATTAATATTTACAATTTCTCAAGTATTAAATATATAAGCCTGATCATAAAACTCTCTATCATCATAAATTCTCTAGCTGATGTTACAGAAATGAATGCTTGCTCTTTGACAAATTAGTGTGTACTGATTTAAAGTGTCCCACCATGGAAACAACTGGCTCCAAGAGTTTATCTCCAGGGACATCCATCCATGTCATTTCCACAGCCCCGGGATCTCCTGGAGAGCAGGGGGTCAGCAGGTCATTTACAATGCAGTTAGGATCAGATCTTGAGGGTCCACGAACCTGTAATCACAGTAACTTGAATTTATCTGAATAAATGAAATAAGAATTAAGAGTTCTGTCATTATCAGGAAAGTTAAGAATACATTATTTTTTATGCTGTATTAAAATGTTTACTCCAAGAAAAATATTATATGGAAAAGATGTTATCATTAGGTTGATTTAAAATATTTTAGATTTTGGTTGATTCAAAATTTTTCTTGATGCATTCCTATAGCTTTGTATTTCATAAAATAATTTACACACCTATTGGGGTTAGAAAGGAAAGATGCTCTGAAAGAGAAGCAGTTACTTCTGGCTACCCCTTCTCTTATCCTCCTCTGATGCTTATTAAATGGTAGTTACCAAACACACATTACAAAATGTTCCAAACTTGTTCTTTTCCATGGCTGGAAAACTTGTGACATTTTGCAGGACTATTTAGTCTTAAATTATTCAATATCTATGTCTCTTTTAACAAAAACTTAAAGCAAAACTTCATGTGTGGTGGTTTCAATAAGAATGTCCCCCACAGTCTCATATATTTGAATGTATGGTTTCTATATGGTAGACAGTTTAGGATGGATTAGGAGATGTGGCCTTATTGAAGAGGTATGTCATTGGGGGTGGGCTTTGAGGTCTCAAAAGTCCATGACAAGCCCAGTTTGTGTCTCCAATTTGCAGATAAAATGTAAGCTCTCAGCTACTCCTCCAACACCGTGCCTACCTGCCTGCCTGTTGCCACGCTCCCTACCATGGTCCTGGGCTCACCCTCTGAAACTGTAAGCAAGCCCTCAGTTACATGCTTTCTGTTATAAGCTGCTTTGGTCTTGGACATGGTGTCTGTTCACAGCAACAGAAAGTGACTAAGACACCATGTAAGTGCTATACTGGGTAGTTTTTTGTCAGACACAAGTTAGAATCATTTGGGAAGAAGGAAACTCAACTGAGAAAAAGACTTTTTATCAAGCTGGCCCATATATAGGAAAGTCTATGAACCATTTTCTTGATTAATGACTTGTGTGGGAGGACCCAGTCTACTGTGGATGGTATCACCTGTGGGCAGATGGTCCTGGTGTATGTAACAAAGGAGTGACAGGAAGCAGCACTCCTCCGTGGCCCCTGCATCAGTTTTCGTTTCCAGGTTCCTGCTCTGATTTCTTTTCAACATGGACTATAATCAAAACCCAAAGAAATAAATCTTTCCTCTCCAGACTGCTTTTCACATCAAGAGAAAGCAAACCAAGACAAAAATAAAGTGCTTAATTTCTGTCATTTCATGAAACACAGCATAGTTAAAATGAAGTTTCAGCAATTTCTAATAAAAGAACCTTTGTAACAAAACTACATACACATATTTAGATGGTAAAACATTTGTATCAATTTGGGGTTGCTGTCAAGTTTATTTCATGATTAACTTTATTTAAGGACTGATGTAGGTGTACAGTACATCTTTTCAGCTTGCTGTAGACATACTCATACTTAGTCTACTTGTGTTTATGTCTATCTTTCTTCCCCAGCTGTATGAGATCAGGGATTTTAGTCTATTTACATGGGTATGGTGCACATATGGTGCAAAAATAGTAGACTCTGCTCCAGATTGCTCTGGCTACCCCCAAAGTACATTTTCAACTATCAGAACGACCCAGAAATGCCTCAGATCACTTCATAGAAAACACAGTACTTTAGGACCATGATTAATCTCCAGTGGAGAAACTCCCTCCCTCCCTCCTTCCTTCTTTCCTTTCTTTTTCTGGTCTTTCAAGACTGGGTTTCTCTGTGTAGCCTTGGTTGTCCTGGAAATTGCTTTAAAGTCACACAGATTCACCTGCCTCTGGGATTAAAGGCATGCACCTCCATGCCCATCAAGGAACTATTTTCAATGCCACAGAAAGATATTTATTACATAAGCATACTTATTATAACGTTGAGCCATTCCAACTCCTGTGAGAAAAAAGCCAGGGCACATGACAGGCAGACTAAAGCTGTTTACCTTTTTGAAATGAGTAGCCGACTGAACTTTTCTAACAGGTTGCATAAGTGCATCCCGTACAATGACACTTATATCTGCTCCTGAATAGCCATCTGTCTTCCTCCCAAGTTCTTGAAAGTCTGCTTCTGTGAGGCTATTCTGAGTACTGCCCAAGTGCAGTTTAAACATGGCTGCACGGGCATGTGCTTCAGGCAAAGGAATATAAATACGTTTCTCAAATCTGAAAATAAAAGAAATTATACAAGTGGTGCTAAACATTTATGCTTAGTTTCAATGTAAAATTCGCATATTTAGAAAAACCATAGACATTTAGTTAGGTATAACCAACTGTATCACATTAGGGTGAACACACCCAGAGTTAAACATCCACATATGTAAGTGCATGTGCACACACACAGATACCTGCCTGTCTACCTCAGGGGAGACTGGCTATAATATACCAAAAACTAATGTCAGAATAGTCAGGAAACAAATTTTGCCTGGTTCAATCTTCCACATGCAACTTCTGGCTCATTTTTGGCTGTTTGCTTCTGGGATTCATGGCATAAAGGCAGGTTTCACAAGATCTGCACACTCAACTTGTGATAAACAGTAATGACTCATAGTATAAATTAAGGACTACCATAATTCTCTAAGTTAAAAATAGCAAAACTATTTGAAATCTTACAGACTAAACATTACACAAGATATTCTTTTCACTATGGAGTTCATTCTGAACAATCCTTGTACTATACATCATAACTAGTTTATTAATAATTTTACTAGTTGTGGTGGCTTGAAAGAATATGGCCCCCAAGGGACTGGAATTATTAGGAAATGGGGCCTTGTTGGAGGATGTGTGTTACTGTAGAGGTGGGCTCTGAGGTCTCATATATGTTAAAGATACTGCCCAGTGCTACAGACCACATTATGTGACCTACAAGATGGAGGACTCTCAGCTCCTTCTCCAGCACCACGTCTCCCCGCACACTGCCATTCCCACCATGACACCAATGGACTGAACCTCGGAACTGTAAGCACCCTCAGTAAGTGCTTTTCTTATAAGAGTTGCTGTGGCCACAGTGACACTTGGCATCATAAAATTCAGGCATTTGGAACGAAGGGAAGCAAGGAAGAACAATTTTTGCAGATTCACTGTGGCAGTGATATTTTAAAATTTCTCTTACCTTTACATAGGCTTGCTTTGGAATCAGGCCACTTTCTAAAACTGCCTAACACAGTTCCTCTGGTGGTATTGGATGCTAATTTAGCATTCTGTCAAATCAACAAATGATAAAAGTGGCACACACTCAAGTGCTCTGTTTATCATGCAATTAAAGAATGCTCTAGGGAGTTCCAGAGCTGTTAGGAATCTATACACTGTTTCTATAGCTGAAGTCTCAATTTCACCTTAAAACATGACAAACTTTTGTTGTTTTAAACAGAGTTTATACAGTCTAAACTGGTCTGGAACTTGCTACCTAGCTGAAGATGACCTTGAGTTCTTGGTTCTCCTGGCCTTCTAAGTGCTGGGATTACAGATGATTGCCACTTCACCCAGTAGCAAATAAACTTTTCTTATTTTTTAAATTAAAAATCTATCTACCTTACCTAGCATGGTAGCTCATGTCTGTAATCCCAGCATGTGGGAGAGGCTGAAGAAGGAGGTTGCTGTTGAGTCGAGGGCTAGCATGAGCTACAGAATAAGGGGTAAGAATAACAAATCATTCTGCCATGGCCACCAGTATGGTCTCCAGTGGCAGCCCAAATGAACTTCAACACAGCTTCAGAAGGCAGTATAAACCACAGACACCCATGTGGTCTTCAGTGGTAGCATGGACCACAGGCATCAACATGGCCTTCTGCTCCCTGCTCCCTCTGATTGTACATGGCAAGGAAGGTTCTTTTGCAGAGGTGTCAATGACTTCAGACTCAGAGTTGAGAAAAACAGACAAAGAAGGCTTCTGTGAAAACCCCACCCCCAAAATTAACAGCCTAGACAGGAAACCATAGAGAACTCTGCAAAATTGGGATATGGATGCTGAAATGTAGCTCTCCACAACTGAGGACTTCTGGTAGGCGTGGAGATAGGAAAGGACTCAGTTTTCTTTAAGGGGATGGCCACTGAGAGTTTGACCATGGTCCAGTGACTATATAGACAACACAAATTGGACTTGTCTTATTTTGGGGAGGGGGTACACAAGGATGGGGGGCAGACCTTTGAGAACTGTAAAGTGAATGTGATCAGGGTACATTATATGAAATTACCAAGTAATCCATAAAAATATTTTGTTTGGTAAAAGAAAAGGAAATCATTTTGTAGAACTTTATGTGAAGGATTTTCACAGAGATACAGACTGTTTTTGTCAATTTTGAAGTATCATTCCTCCTAAACTTAATCAAAACTAAAGTTAAGTATAGACACCAAGCAAAGTACTTTTCAAAGTGGAAAACTCCAGTATATAGAGTCCTCATCTTCACTCTAGCCAGCAAACAAACAAGCAATGACCATTCCTTGCCCTCCAACACAGGGGAGAAAGAGGGTTAGGATTGATTAATAAAAAGGATTCAAAAATTTAAAAATTGAAAAGTTATAAGAATAAATTCCTATAAAGGGAAGGGACATGATCACTTATTGCTACACCTCTGGTTAGAAATAATATGTTTATTCTAACAACATACCTTCGTCTAATTGCAGAATCCAGAACCCAGGGTATATTTGTAGCTCCCAGAACCAAAATACCATCATTGTCCACACCAACTCCTGCATTAAAATAGGTAATGTTTTAAATGATAATTTGATGCTTTCTTTTTTAAAAAGTTATTGGTGTATACTAACTACAGGTAACACTGTTACTTAGGGATATTTTCACAGACGTATGTAAGGCATTTAGAATATACTCTCCCAATGTCCCATCTCTTCCCTTCCCATTAGTTCTTTTGGTTCCCTGAAGCAGTCTCTTCTATTTATATGACATATAGATATGCATAGGTTTACATTTGTCATATAATCCAGTAACCACAAATATGAGGAAATATATCTGTCTTTCTGAGAGTGGTTTAGTTTATTTAATGAGATTATGTATAGTTATGCCCATTTTCTGCAAATGAGAATTTCATTCTTTGTACACACGTACACACACATATACACACACACTCACACACACACATTTTTAATCTACTCTCCACTCTGTGTTTGTATGTTCCACTAAGAAAGGTAGTTCTTTATGTAACACTGATGTACTTCATCTTCATCTTTACAAAAACTGTAACTAATCAAGAACCACACTGCTCAAGCACCAATCGCACCATCCAAAGAAGCAAATCTCCTAGATTATGAACACATACTGTTAATACTCTTTTCAAAATATTCTTTCATGCACTTCCTGGTACCTGAGTAGAGATAAAATCTATTTACTAATAATATCTGTGAATCCTGTAAGACAATTACAAAAATGATACATCCGTGCAGGGAGTGGTGGTGTATATCTTTAATCTCAGTGCTTAGAAGGCAGAGCCAAGCGGATTATCCATGAGGCTAGCTTGGTCTACACCAGAAGTTAAAAGCAAGCCAGGGCTACATAGTGAGATCCTGTCTTAAAACAAAGCCAAGAATGGCAATAATAGGTTTTAGAGAAATTCTACATAAATTCTTTTTCCATTGATGGTTAAGCAAGAATCAGAAGTTATCTTGAAAACCATTAGTACTACCTTGCATTTGAACCAGGAATTCGGTCTTAATTCTCCGTGCAGCTTCACTTTCATTTTCGCTTCTTGAACCGCACAGAGAGTCAATCTCATCAATGAAAATAATGGAAGGCTTGTTCTCTCTGGCAAGCTGGAATAAGTTCTTAACCAGTCTAGAAGTAAAAACAAATAAAGCTGGTACAAAAGGACCACAACAAGGCAATATACCCAAAGTATAAAAACCACAAAGACAAAAGGCTGTAGGATAGAAAACAATAAATTACAACTAGATACTAAATAATTCACTAAGCTATTTGCACAGGCACACATACAAGTGCATACACATACTTACTAGCTTTTTTCCCACAAAAATAAATTCCCAGCTAGGTACTGAGCTTGACAGAGAAATGAATATCTATATTATATTCTTCCCCTGAGTATTTAGCAATGGTACATGAAATCTATTAATGCACAGAGTGACACTTACTTTTCACTTTCCCCCAGCCACTTAGAAACAAGGTCAGAGGAAGATATAGAGAAAAACGTTGAGTTGTTTGCTTCTGTTGCAACAGCTTTAGCTAAATAGGACTTTCCTGTTCCTGGTGGGCCAAATAATAGGATTCCTCTCCAAGGTGTCCTCTTCCCTACAAGTTGCATTAGAAAAATATAAGAATTTCCATAATATTCATTTCAGCTACTGCAGACATTGTCCACACTAAGGAATGCTGTAAAAAGATCTTCATTACAAAGCTGTCAGTAAGATTAAAAAGATAGTTAAAACTCATCAGTCTAAGTGTATGTGACTTGCTATGTCTAGAAACATCATAAAAAACGCATTCACAAAAACGCTGACCGCCTCAGAGGAAGTTCATTTACTTGCTCACTCATCTATTCAATCAATGTATAGAGACTGCAATGCATGATACAAACAAAGGGTCTCTTCTCCCCAGGAAAGAAAGTTCAGTTAAAGGTACTGCTCAACACTAGACTAATGCAAGAAAGACACAGCCACAGAGCAGGGCAGCTGCAAAGTCTTGCTTCTAAATATCTGTCACCTGTGGAGGATGACAGGGTGCGACGCTGACAGTCTGGAGTGCTAACGAATTCCTGATTTACCAGTAAACACAGGCTAGTGTGACAATCAGCTGCTTCAATGGTTGGTAATGATTGGGAGGTATCACTGTAAATCCTACTTCTACTTAAATGAAACAAGGAGGAGGGAAAAAAATCAACTTTTTTTGGTTCCTTAATTTGGCTAATCAGAAATTATTTGCCTAAAATATAGTAGGCTGTATAGAATTATAAAATATAAATTTAAAAATTCACATACAAACTGCAAATAGGTATTCACTGTCTGCAGCAGAATGATCTTGATTATGAAAGAGTTGATTAACTTTTACTTGAATTCTGATTTTCTCTTTCTTTTGTAATTTTATTTTTATTTTATGTGCATTGGTGTTTTGCCATGGGTGTTGGGTTCCCTGGAACTGTAATCTCAGAAAGTTATGAGCTGCCATGTAGGTGCTGGGAATTGAACCTCAGTCCTCTGGAATAGCAGTCAGTGCTCTTAACCATTGAGACATCTCTCCAGTCCCCTGTTTTTCTGTTCTAAATGCATACACCTACAAGGCAGTGTTGCCCTAAGTGGGTACTTGGTGCACAGAACACTGAAGGATTGAAAATGATATTCCGTAGTGCACACTTTTTATTTAAGTGATTACCTTTTAAATGTTTATTAAACATTTCTGATCCTTATAATAGATGTGGACATCTTTCAGTAAATTACCATGTGGATTGAAATTTATTAATATGGATATATATATTATATTTTAATGAGTTTGTACTATTCCAGAGATTTACACGTACTGGCTGACACTTAGATTATTCTACAAATATAGATATGAAAAGGAACATCTTTATGAAGATAAAGTTACTACATTTTAAATTGTCAATTCAAGATAATTCATAATATAAAGACATGAGCTCACAATGCTCTACCTTAATCGCTATATGCTTGAAATAAAAAGCGTTTAAAAGTCATTTCACCTGTAAATAGATGAGGAAATTTAATAGGCAGAATCACAGCCTCTTTAAGTGCTTCTTTGGCTCCTTCAAGACCAGCAACATCACTCCACTTCACATTTGGTCGCTCTATAACAATGGCACCTACAAAATATTGGGTCACCTTTAAACTGAGAAAGACTAATTCAGCAAAGTTAGAAAGCAACATTTAAAAACCACACTGTATCACAACCCCAGAGAAGCTAGGTAACAAAGAGAACACTAAGACAGACATACATGGATCCCCCTGGGAAGGGGAAATAGACAAAATCTCCTGAATAAATCAGGAGCATGGTGGGTAGGAGCTAGGTTAGAAGGGGAGGGAAAAGGGGGATGGTAGAATGGGAGAGGGGAGGGGAGGGAAGGGAAGGGAAGGGAAGGAGAAAAGGGAAGGAGGGAGGAGGAATCAGAGGAGACCAGGAGTGAGCAGGATGATTGAGTTGGGGTAAGGACAGATATCTTGACAGAGGGAGCCATTATGAGGTTAGCAGGAACCTGGCACTAGGGAAATTCCCAGGAATCCACAAGGATGACCCCCAACTAAGAATATAAGCAATAGTGGAGAGGGTGCCTGAACTGGCCTTCCCCTGGAATCAGATTGATGACTTCCTTAATTGTCATCATAGAACCTTCATCCAGTAACTGATGGAAGCAGATATAGAGAGCTACAGCTAAGCACTGGGCAGAGCTCCTAGAGTCCAGATGAAAAGAGGAAAGAGCTAAGATAAGCGAAGGGGTCAAGACCATGATGAGGAAACCCACTGAAACAGCTGACCAAGTGGGAGCTCACTGACTCCAAACTGACAACTGGGGAACCTGCATAGAACCAAACTAGGCCCTCTAAATGTAAGTGACAGTTGTGTGGCTTAGGCAGTTTATGGAACCACTGGCAGTGGGACCAGGATTTATCCCTAGTACATGAACTGGCTTTTTGGAGCGATGTGTTGTTCAGCCTAGATATGGGGGGAGGGCCTTGGTCCTGCCTCAATGTGATGTGACAGACTTTGTTGACTCTGAAAGGCCTTACCCTCTCTGAGGAGTAGATGGGGGGTGGAGTCGGGGAAGCTGGGGGATGAGCAGGAGGGAAAGGAGGGGGAACTGAGATTAGTATGGGGAAAAATAAAATAAAAACAATGTAAAACTGTACTAAGACTGTCTTCGAAGTAGTGTAATGAAGTTGTTAAATGAAATCAGGAAGAGGCAAGAACTTAGGTGGTTGGCTGAGCACCTATGGACAGGACTCAGTGCCTACATTTCTGCTTCCTCAATAGTGAAATGAAAATAGTACTACCTGGCCAAACCACATAGACAGGATAGCCCAAGGATCAGGTGACACAGTGAGTATAGAGCCATGTACTGTACTTCTTCAGTGGGGCTGGCTTAATATTTCTCTTGTTAACACTCTCTGTTGAGAATAACAGAGAGAATACACTTTGGTGATTTTTAACTAAAGACAGAAAGACAGGAGACGAGATCAGGAAAGACAGAAGAAATAGAAATGAGAGAGGAACAGATAATGGAAAAGACAATGTGTTCTTAAAGATCTGCGATTCTTCCTTGAGATTTGTCAAACTTTCTATCTGGCTTTTAAATAGAATTTTTTTTAATTAGCAAAGTTAAAGGAATGATTTAGCTTCTCAAAAACTATAACTGTTATAGTAAGAGTGCAAGAAAAGAGTCCTGTAATTAGTAGAAGAAACCTCTAACTATTATCAAAAGCTTTTCCAATTTTCTAGTACACAGGAACTGCTTTATTATAAATGACTAAACAGTCCAATAAGATGAGAAGTAGCCACTCTACACCGGGAAATGGCTCAGTCAGCAAAGTCACGCCGTGTAAGCATAGGCTCCGAGTTCAGAGAACTTCCCAGCACCCATGTCAAACTGTGGTGGCGCATGTCTATAACCCCAGCTCTGGGAGTGTGGGGAGCAGAGACAGGAGCTCACTGTCTACCAGCCTATAAGCATTAGGTCCAGTAATAGAGCTTGTTGCAAAAACTAAGGTAGAGTGATCTAGGAAGACGCCTGAAGTCAACCTCTGGCCTCCATACACATGCACACACGAACATACACAAAAAGATGACAAGTAGTTGTTTAAACAGAACATAGACATCTCTATGTACAATCACTGATCATATTACTTTTAAACCCAATTTCTTGTGAGGGATTATCACCTATGATTCTAAGCCTATATTTGGTATAAAAATCTCTAGTCATTAGGCTAAAATTGAATAAAACCATATTTTGCAATCTAAAAGTTCACTGTGACACACAAAAGTCAACGTGCATTGTTTATGCTCCACTAAGATCAGTAACCTCATGATAAAAAAAATCTACACCACATGATGAGGCTTCATTTATTAAATGAAAGTAAATTCTCTTTAACCATGTACATCTGGCTAACTCAAGATTTTCATGTAATCTAATACAAAGAGAAGCTGGAGAAACAGTTCAACTGGTAAAGAGCTTGCAGAACAAGTGTTGAGAACTGGAGCTAGGATTCCCAGTGCCATGTAAATGCCAGGTAGATGTGTGATTGCATGTGATCACAGCATGTGGGGATACAGAGGAACAAGCTGGCTAACTAGACTAAGTTGAATGGTGAGCTCTGGGTTCAAGTACAAAACTCTGCCTCAATACACAAGGTAGAGAATGCTCACGAACACAGCAATGGCTTCTACACACACGCACATACCCTTCCCAACATACCACGAATACCAACACACATGAACATGCATGTACATATGCATATACACCTCCTTCACCAAGTATGCATGATATATCCCCCCCTCTTTTTTTTTTTTTCGAGACAGGGTTTCACTGTATTGTTTTGGAGTCTGTCCTGGAATTTGCTCTGTAGACCAGACCAGGCTGGCCTTGAACTCACAGAGATCCACCTGCCTCTGCCTCCCGAGTGCTGGGATTAAAGGCATGCTCCACCAATGCTTGGTCCCCCTCTTTTTTTTTTTTTTTGGAGACATGGTCTCAATATGTCTGGCTGTTTGGAACTATCTGGCTGGCCATAAAACTTACAGAGCTCTGTCTGCCTCCGCCTCTCAACTGCTACAGGAGGCTCAGCTTATTCCCATGTTTAATTAGTATTTCTATTAAAGTTCAAAGGTGACTTTGCAATACTTAGTTGTGAAAGATTAAGTGCCAGACAAAACTTAATGGTTTATAAAACTAAAAAGGCAAGGAAGGTAAGATTACTGAAAAATAGAAACTGACTCTACTTCCAAGAATATAAGTGCACTGTTTTTTTTATCATTACACTGTATATTATATTAGGATATTATTTAGGGGCTGGTAAGATGGCTCAGTAGACAAAGGCACTTGCTGCCAAGCCTGTGGATCCAAGTTTGATCCCCAGAACTACATGATGGAAGTACAAAACTGATTCCTGAAAGCTATCCTCAGACTTCCATATAGGTGTTGTGGTGCGCGCGCACACACACACACACACACACACACACACACACACACACACACACACACACACACACACACTAAATACATACAAAAAATTAAATTCAAACAGACATTTAATCTTACAAGTCCCTGAATTAGCTAACAGAAAATTCATACCATAATCCATTTAATCCTAATAATCATATATTAAATACCATAATCTAAAACACAAGTAAGATGTTAAAATATTATTTCAGAAATAAGAAATTTTAAAAATTATAGCATGTGTGTGTTTGCATGTGTAGGTGGGCAGTCCGTGTGTCTTGTGTGGAGGCAGAGGACAACCTCAAGTTCATTCCTCATTCATCATCTTCTTTATGAGACAGAGCTCCCTGGCCCAGAGGCCACCTGGCAGGCTGGGCTGGCAGGCCAACATACCTGAGGCATTTACCTAGCTTCACCTCCCAGCACCAAGATCATGGATGTATGCTACTATGTCTGGCTTTAGTATGTGAGTTCTGAGACTTTAGCTCAGATTCTCATACTTGTGTGGCAATCATTTTACTGACTGAGCTATCTTCCCAGTTCAAACAAATAAGATACTAATCCATTAACAATCATTAAATTAAAAAACAAAAAACAAAACACGGCAAAAGCTAGGCATGGTGACACAAATCTCTAATCCCAGAACTTGGGAGGTAGAGGCAGAAAGACCACAAATTCAAGGTCATTTTCAGCTACATAAAATTTAAGGCCAGTCTGGGCTATGTGAGACACTGTCTTCAAACAACAACAACAAGACCCCAACAAACAAACATCCCTTATAGGAAAGGCTAAAGGCCCATCCACATTCTATTTCACTCTGAGACTACATAAGCTTCTACATCTAAATGTTGTTTTAGGAATTACAAGTGATAGGAATTTACAAATAACTCTGTTAAAAACTGACTATATTATATGGTCTACTTTTTACTTGGGGTAAAGGAATGGATAGAGAGAAACTAAACCAAACCAGCAAAGTAAACAGATAGGAGACAGTTCCTTGCTTTAAAACTTAAAAGGTCTACTTGGTGTAGATCAAAATTGGCAGCTTATACACCACTTCAGGCAGTGCGGTGTAGCAGGGTAAACCCAAAGTCTCAGGGAACTGTATCTATCTGCTACAAATGCTACAAAAGTTCTTGGGATATAAACAAAAAACAAACCATCACCAACAAAAATAATCCTATTTTCAGGGGCTGGCGAAGTGTGGCTCATTGCTTAAAGAGAGCACAAAGAAATCTAGTTTGGATCTCAGAACCCATATCAGGCAGGTTACAACTGTTGACACTGAGCTCCAGGGAGATCTGACACCCTCTTCTCATCTTAGTGGGCATCTACTCATACAGACAGATACAAACACATAGATAAGAATAAAAAGTAATAAATCTAAAACCCAAAACTCTGCTCTCTGTCATAATCAATTATATAGTTTTCAACACACAAAGTTTATAGTATTCTCATACATATCTCAGTGGGGCGGGTAGAAGAGAAATACTACCAAAATGAAGGAAGTAGTATAGCAAGGTCTAATACCACACCCACACCACGCTATCCAGTAACCAAACTGAGTCTACAAATGGGAATCCTTTGGTTAAAAAGTTTGTTAGCTAAGACTCAAAGGTGCAAACACATACTACCAATGACTAAGCCTTTTATTTGGAAAGTCATCAGCTAACATACAAAAAAAAAAAAATCACATCTCAGCAATTAAAGAAGCCAATAATTAAGCAGATGCCTTTTTAGACATGCTGAGCTACCATTTATCAGACCTAGAATTTATTAAGATCCTTTTGCATTATCTTGCTTTCCTTTCCCTGAAAGAAATGTCCATTTTCAAGATGGGGACTCAGTTTCTGAGAGCTTGGGGAACTTGCCCACAACTTGAAAGCTTGAAGTGGTAGATCTCAGAGTGGGATCCAGATCTGTGTTTACAGCCACTCCATTAGGCCACTGTATTTTATGACAGCAGAATCAAAGATCCTTGACATGTGTAGCAGATAAAGAGAGAAAAGAAAAGTGTAATGAAATAAGCACATCTGTGAACACTGGAAAGTGGGGGAGAAGAACAGGGAGAAAAGGAAGCTCAGATCAACTGCAGCCATGGCAGCAGAAACAGTGTAACTCCTAATCCATTCAGTTCCTTGGGCCTTGCAGTGTGTTAATAAGTGTCAATGCTACCTATTTTACAAGGGGCAAATAAATAACAAAGAGCAGCTGATGACAGCCTATTGAAGGCAGATATGAAAACAAACCATTTTTTAACTTCATTAAAAACAACAAAATATTAGAAAGTCTTGAGAGTAAATCCTGGTCTGGAACCAAGCCAGTATGTGACCCACCAGCAACCAAAGCCATTTTTTCAAACTCAGTGAAATATAGGGAAACAAAACAGTTCAAGGAGATAGATAATCCATAAGTCTTTTCAGTAAGAGTAAATTTAACAATGAAATCCAGAGTAACCTTGAAGTTGATTCTGTAGTTTCTTTTTTTCAGGATCATCAGATTCTGCTTCCCCATCACTGTCATTCCTAATGAAAAGAATTTAATATATGCAAAAGATCACTCACTGCTAATAAACAATGCAAAAGTGAAGGAAAGATAACCTAAAATGTTTAAGCAAGAAAAGACGTTGACATTAAAAATTATTTTTAAGTGTTCCAAATGATGCTTTTAAGAATATATTAAAACAGGGAGCAGGCAAATAATAAATAGGGAACTATGCACTGGAAATGGACAAGACCGGAATGAAGTTAGACAAACCCCCATCCTCATGACATACTTGTGCATTTATGTATCCACAGTTTGTATGGCCCATACTATTCAATGAAGGTTTTAAAATAGAGTACAGGAAATTGTAAGAAACTACAAAAACATCAGGACCAGGTCAAATATAACTCAACAAGACTTGGTGCTAGGATGAAAATGTATAATACACAATTATCTACAACATAACCCTTTGCCTGAGGTTCCCCAAAAAACAGGTAAAGCTTCCTGGTGAAAATCTTCTGAACATCCAAGAAAAATGGCCAACCTTCTTGTGCTGATTACTACTTAACACAAAGCTAGACGACTTGGGAGGAGGAAATCTCACTGAGGAATTGCCTCCATCATGCTGGACTGTGGGCACTATCTTGATTACTGACTGATGTAGGAGGGCTCAGTCCATTGTGGGCAGGTGAGCTTGGGCTATACAAGAAGGATGGCTGAGCAAGTGAGGGACAGCATGACAGTAAGCAGCATCCCTCTATCAGTCTCAGCTTCAAGCTCCTGCCTGGACTTCCTTTGGTGGTGGACTACGGCCTCTATCTGCATAAATCCTTTCTCCACATACTGCTTTTGCTCATGATATTTTTGCACTGCAATACAGAAACAAACTAGAACGGCAATATTTCACATCTAGGGATTTACATTGAGGAGATAAATTTTAAAATTTCACTGCAAGGACAGTCACATCTACAGTATGATAAGGGAAAAAAGACAAAAACGATTTATGTTGTTATAGAGATTAGCTTTATGAAACAATACTCTACAGTTTTTAAAAGCAATGTTGTAGAAACAATTAATGGAAAGATGTTCCTCATGCAATGTTGGGTGAAAGAGTAATTCAGAGAAGAAAAGTCTTACCAACTTTTCAGATTTTAAAATACAAAGAGGGTGGATTAAAACATTTGATGGACTTGTGCCAGGGTGGCATACCCTGGTTATTTATAGAATAGCAGGGCTATGGATGAAGTAACTAGCAAGAGCTGAGTCAATGACACTCCAATCTTGTATTCAAGTTTCTCATGCTGTAAAGACCATTTAAAACAAACTGTCCTTTGTAGATTCCCTTGCAAACAGCCTTTATTCTCATCAGACTTGAGTTCCTCCAAAGTGGGGGTTGCTTGCATGAAGAACAAATCTTCAAGTAAAACCATTGGTTTGCTCTGGGGAAGCTGAGGCAGGGGTCTTGCTGTGTATTTCTGAGCCCTAGGAATATCTGGTGAGGGGAGTGGCAGCAGCAGCAGGATCTCTACTTGAATATAAAATATCACAGGCATGAATTCACAATATGTCCCCATATGGTATCCTGGGTAGTTTTCCTAATGATTGGAACTCAAGGCTGATTCTCTGTCCTTAAAATTCTGTAAGGTAATTCCTATAAAAATCAGCCTAAGTAAGTCCTGCTGCTTATAACCAAGATTGTTATTTAGTAGAGAAGACTGGCGCTCCCTTGTCAGGCAGCCATGGCAGAGCAGGTCATTCATTACAGGGTCCTTACTAACATACCACGTGTCCCAGCAGACAGGGAAGACCAAATGTGCCTGCTGGCAGAAGTCTGTGAGGTGTGGAGGCCCTGTATGCTCATGATGAATATGTACATTTCATGTTGGAAATTACTATGTACAGAATATAAAATACTCTTGGCATGTCACAGAAATTCTGTTTCCTAATCACATCTTAACAGAGAATATAAAACTCAGAGCTTATAATTTTCTTCAAACTCTGCCACACAGAGCTGAGGCAGTCAAATCTAAATTTTATGCTTCTCCTGTCCTTAACTTTGGCAATGCCTATTTAAAAAGCAAAATTTCATCATGAGCAAACATGGGAGGGGAGCACTGTCTATAGGCCTCCATCCCTAATTCCCTCATGACCTTGGGCATCACCTAAGAAACCTGTATTCTGCAGAACATGAACTGCAAGCATCATAGGCTCCAGAGCTCACCAGATCCTCAGTGCTTCCAACCCAGGCAGGTCATATCAACCCAGAATCTCATTTTCCTAATGTGTCATCTGAGCCATGCTGGCAACCCATTCACAGAACTATCAAGGACAAATCTAGCTAGAGCATGTCCTCCCTGCTTAGCAGAGCTGGGAATGCATGCACTAAATGTGCAGTAAGTTCTCTTTACATTTGTGCTACCTTGTGCGTCTAGGAAGATATTTAAAAACTGGAGTTCACTGTTTAAATCATGTGCTGTTGCTTCTTCACAATGACATAACGCAATTCGACATTTAGAAAAGCCTTTGCATAAAGTAAAAACTGACATTATTAGAGTTCATTTTCATTTTGTCCATAGGGTCAGATTTAATTCACAGATTACTCCTATTGAATATCTGGGTTTTGTTGGTGCCATGCCCACAGTGCTTTCCCAGTTACCTGAAAACAGTCAGGGAGGTGTAAAAATGCAGTAAGCACAAACTAGCAAACTTTGATCTTTGAAAGATTTGATGGTAAATATTTCTGGGTTTTGTGGTTTCTATTGTAACCACTCAACTCTGTTGTTATAGTACAAGAGCTGCCTGAGATGACAGTAAATAAACTGTCTCAATAAAACTTAATAACTGAAATAGGCAACAAGCTCACTCTGGCCCATGACTCATGGTTGGAAAATACCTGGCTTAGATGAAAGAAACCTATTACTAAATAAGAGGTTACAAGATGTAAAATCTAACACTTCAGAATACATACCCCTTGTCATCAACGGCACTGGACTGTTCCTCTTTCACAGGCTTCTGTGGCTTCTTCTCTTTTTTCTTCAGATACTCCTTCAGTTTTTCTGCTCTATCAAGATATTCTGTACACTTGGCCCTGATACTTTGCTTGGCTTTATCACCTTGTGCTTCATCTGTAGAAAGAATGAGACACTATTTCATTAGCATTTGTTGTGGTCTGAATATGAAATATCCCCACAGGCTCATGTTTCCAAACAACTGGACCCCTGGACCCCGGTGGGTGGCGCTATCTAGGAAGGTTAAGGAACATAGAGGAACTATGACACTGGGGGTGGACTCTGAGGTCTTATGATCTGGCTCTACTCCCTGTTCTCTAGTTTCCTAAGTGTTGATGGTCTGTGATCAGTTAGCTCTCTCACTCACAGGCTGGCCTCACACTCCTGCTGCCATGCCTTCCTTGCAATGACAGGCTGGAGTCACTCTGGAACTGTATGTAAATCACCCCTTTTCTGTTCCTTCTTGCTCGTTCTTTTAGGTTGGAGGCCAACAGTGGGTGTGAATTTAAAAACAAAACAAAAAAAACTTCAGAGCAAAATAGTAGATATTTTAAGTTAATGTTATATAATCACAAAGTATTTAGCAGTCCATAGGTTTCAAATTCTTCCCTTAATAGTTTGCAGATAGCTGAAAGCTGTCGTACATAAAACCAACCACAAGCTGGGCTCGGTGGCACATGCTTGGAACTCAGTGAGTTCAAGGCCAGCCTGGTCTACAGAGGAGTTTCAGGACAGGCTCCAATGTTACAGAGAAACCCTATCTCGACAAAACAAAATAAAACAAAAACGCATAACAAAAAACCAACCACAAAAGACAACACACAACTCTGAATGTAGAATAGTGATTCCTAAAGGCTAAGAAGGGAGCAGTTAGAAAAATGGAAGCTGGATTTGTTCTCTGTACATTACAGGCATATGTTGATAGATAAAATTAATACAAGTGAATAAAAGTTTAAGATATACAAGATAATCAGATAGAGACTCCATTAACATCTTTGTCTGCTTTATTTCAAAGCATACAAAGTGACAGAAGTCACACACATTATGTGAACCAACAACACAGTAACTTTACTATTACGTTAAAGGTCTCTATCATGGCTATTTTGAAATGTGGACTTGAACAATACAGGCAATGCATAGGCTTATTCTCATGTCTCTTAAGTGTTACATTTCATTCTCAGTTTTTCCCCTCCACTTAAATGGGAAAGCTCAAATTAAAATAACTCACTGCAGTGAGCGTAAGATGGATCTTACAGGTTTTCATGCACTTGTTTCTCAGTGTTGAATCTCCAGTTCCCAGAATAGAGCCTAGCTTATGATAAACATCAATACATTTGTAAAATACATTTAATATTGCCCAACTGGTTCTTGTGACAGAATCATTTCCAACATATGCTTAGGAAAGATTAAGTTCAAATCATATAATCTGGATAGGTTATCTCTAAAACAAGGCTTTCTCCACTGAATACACAAAAAGATAGTGGGTGTAAGAAGTAACAACTGTAATAGCTGCCACATCTGTTAGGAGTACTTAAAAGCTAGGAGAACAGGGACTTTCTTTTTAATGGGTGGTTTAGATCTTTAGAATTCTCTTGGCCTATAACAATTTCTTCCCTTTTCGTGCACAAGTTTAAGTAAAATAAACATGCCTTACACTTAACGACATGGAGAAAATACTGAACAGCATGTTGGTAGAGTTGAAGGGCTTCCTCATAGTTCCCAGCTTTGTCTTCCTGGGCTGCTTTGCTTGCAAGATCTATTGCTTTCTGTTTGAGGAAGGCAAAATAATAAATTTAGTATGAAAGCATAAATCTTAACTTTGAAGCAAATAATATTCCCTCCAAAGCACACAGTGAAGGAGGCAGTTAGGGAAATTCTCAAAATTTAAGAACTGCTGAACTGGAGACATGGCACTGGGATAAAGGGCACTGGCTAGTCTTCTGGACAACCAGGGTAAAATTCTCAGCACCCACAAATGTCTGTGACTCCAGTTCAGGGGATCTGACACCTTCTTCTGGTCTCTGTGGACACCAGACACATACGGCTACACAGATACACATGGAGACAGAACACCTACACACATAAATTTAAAGAATCTGGAAAAAACCTAGTGCTGCTTTGCTTAAAGCATAAACATAATGCACAGAGATAACAACAAACAAACAAAACAACAACAAAAAAACCAACCAAATCCATGAAACAATGAGATACCAAAACTCTGAAAAGTTCTCAAAACAATACTGAGCAAAAACATTAAAAAACAAATAGTGCTGGGCAGTGGTTGTCCATACCTTTAATCCTAGCACTCAAGAGGCAGAGGCAGGCAGATTTCTGAGTTCAAGGCCAGTCTGGTTCAGAGAGTTAGTTCCAGGACAGTCAGGGCTACATAGGGAAACCCTGTTGTAAAAAACAAACAAACAAACAAAAATAGTTTCAAATAATATTAAAAGATCATTAAAATCATATTAAGAACATCTTAGTAGCATGAAAAGAATCTGAGAAACATTTTTTGATGGTTTGACAAAGATTCATTTTCATCTTTGTGTCAGGAACTATTACAGAGATTAAAAAAGGAAGACCTTCCCAGAAATAGTGCCACACAAACATAGCCAAAGGATATTTAAAGTGATGTAGAACCAAATGAACAATAAGAAAGCAGGCTTTTAAATGGTATTGTACCAAATGGGCATCCATGAGAATACAAAAAAAAAAAAAAGGAATCTTAACCTAAATCCAATGTGTCTAGCAAAAACTAACTTAAAATGAGCAGACTTAAACCTATAAAAAAAAAAAACAACAAAACCCAAAAAAGTACTTACATTAACATCAAAAGCACAGTATATACAAGGAAAAGATGTTACCATGGAACATACCAATTTAAAAATATCTGTGTTCTAAAAAATTCCAATAATGAAAAGACAGTGCAGACTGGGAGAAATACTGTGAAGCATAAGACAAAAGAAACATCTACTAGGAACCATAAGGGGACCCTGAAGACGTAACAGTTTAAAAAGAATCCATTAAAGGGCTACTGAGATGGCTCAGCAAATAAAGGGTCTTGCTATTCAGCTTGATTGAGAGACCCACACAGAAGAGAACCGATTAGTCTTGCAAGCTGTATCCACGCAAAAGCCTGTACATGAATGAATGTTCTAGGCAGTTTTCAATGGTACCACTGCTAAAGAGCTATATAAATACCATGGAACACTAGGCAGCAAGAAAAAGGGATGGACTATTGATACATAAGATTTGGATGAATCTTGAGGCTATTATGTTGACTGAAAAAAGCCAATGCTAATGGCTGAGTATTAAAGCTCCATTTATATATTGTTCTCAAAATGTCAAAATCAGAGATGGGAAGTGATGAATTCTGCCAGGGAATTGGAATGTGAGTGAAAGAGAAAATGGAGGTTCAGTGTAGACTTAAGAGCAGCATGAACGTTCCCTCTGGAACTGCTCTAAAGTGTCTGCTTATACACTAATTACATGTTTAGTTTTGGACACTAAGTCTGTGGTGACAGACACACAAACACACAGAAGTACAAGCCAATCTGCGGAATGAGTGAGAACTGTAGAAACTGTCAACATCAATATCCTGATGTGATACTGTACTGGTTTTACAAATGCAACTAGGGGGAGGAGTACACTGAAAACCTCTCTTACTTTTTAAAAGTGCACATTGTCTCAAGGATTAAAAGTACTCACTGCTCTTCCCAACACCTCCACGGTAGCTCACAACCATCTGTAACTTCATTTTCAGGAGACCCAATGCCCTCTTCTAGCCTCCATGGGCATTAATAACACACACAGAGCACAGACATAATGCAGGCAGAATATCCATACACATAAAATAAAATAAATTGCAATGTAAAATATTTGTAGACATATGAAAAGAACAACCATGAATTATTAAAACATTCTAATGGGGAGAGCGTGTAGGCGTGGGGCTGGTGAGATCACACACACACACACACACACCACTCATATACACACACTCACACACCACTCATACACACACACTTACATACACCACTCATACACACACACTTGCACACACCACTCATACACACACAAATAAAAACCGCAGGGTTAGAAATAAGAGCAAAGGGGTGTCTATGTGAATATACGAATGATACTCTTTAGGTTACACTAAACACAAGTGCATAAATAACATGAAAATCATTCAAAACTTCACAACCACTTACATGCAGGTTACCATTATACTTGGAAGAATGTGCTTATTTGGAGACGCAGGCGGGGCTATATTTCTCTTATGTTTTAAAATTGACAAAAATGAACTAGTTTTATGTTTCACAGTTCAAACAGTGAGAAGTCTTCTCAAGTTTTTCACTAGGTGGGATATAAATGTAGAAGTCACAGATATGGTTACCTGCTGTTTAGGAGAAACTGCTCACATAACCATATACTCTGAATGCTCAGTGGTAAACCACATGGCAGAAACAAATTCCTTATGCAGACAATAATTTTCTCCAGATCATCTTGAAATGCTGCCTTTCTTCAGTCACTCATTTCCCTCTCTCAGTCCACATTGGGCAATAGTGAGCTGTTACAAGCCCAGTCTGACATGTTAAAACCTGTTGTTTCTTTTCTTAAGACAGGATTTTGGTATATTGCTCAGGCAGGTCTTGAACATATGCACTCAAGCAATCCTCCAGGTTTATCCTTCAGAGTAGCTGGGATTATACATATGTTCCACCATACCAAGCTTATGGCAAAATTGTTATTTTTGGTATCTGGTGCCAAACACTGTATAAAATACATAGTCTAAACCAGCCTTGCATGTCAAATCCTTTCAAGTCTGATCCATGACGAATGCCCCATTTCACCCCTGGTTTTGGTGGCATTCTGCACTTGAGACTGTGTCCTGCACAGTTTTGAAGAACAAATTGTTCTTTAGGAATACTGTCCTTTCCATTTCCCTTGGTGTCACTCTACTTCAACCCGCTCTTGGTTTTGCCAAACTACTACCTAATGTGTGGACAGCCCCCTCCACTCTGCTACCCAAACAGATCACCGCATTTTGATGTCTCCTCACTGCCAACTAGCAGAATTCAAACACCGGAGCATGGTCTATCTATATGGCCTTACATGCTATAGTCCCTAGCTCTGTACTGGAACATTCTAGCCCTACTTCAGTTGGCAAATTCTCAGAGAAGGCTCCCCGAATCTTCTAGAGTTGTGTTCTATCCCTGCTGTCAGCTCTCCCTATATCCTTTCTTATCCATCATTATGACTGCATTAGCTGCTGTTTGCATGCACAGGCCACCTCCTCAGTTATCCTGTGAAGACAGACATCTTTGCCTAAAGCTTTTTAGCCTAGAATGGCACTGGTTGGTAAATGATGGACACACTGTTAACTTGCTGAATGAGTGGAAATTCCAGACTCCTCCTGCTCTTAAAGCAATCCTGTCCTTGGCCGGACAGTGGTGGCGCACGCCTTTAATCCCAGCACTCGGGAGGCAGAGGCAGGCGGATCTCTGTGAGTTCGAGGCTGGGCTGGACCGATAGCCTCCAAAACAATACAGAGAAACCCTGTCTCGTTAAAAAAAAAAAAAAAAAACCAAAAGAAAAAAAAACCAAAAGAAAAAAAAAAGCAATCCTGTCCTTGGTTATTCCTGTCATCTCTAACAACAACCCCTCTCCTCTAGGTATTTTCAGCAGCACACAAACAGCCTGCTACAGGTTTCATATCTGACACTGAAATACTTTTCTCAGAATTTGGTCTGAGGCTCAATTTTATTTATGCCCTCTCTACCCAAGATGTTTTTAAGGACTCATAGCTGACAATCTTTATGATGCTGATTCATTTTCAAATATATTCCATTTTTATTACAGAGATGTTCATGTAATTCCTATGAATAAAACTTTCCAGATTGCTATAAGTATAAACATTTGTTTTTGCTGTTATTTATCTCTTTGCTTGTCTGTCTCTCTCACTGGACTAAAAGCTCCACAGAGTCAGGGGTTATGTCTTCACTTTTGCATGCATCAATATAAGACTGACTTATGACCAAGTGACTTAATTACTCCAAGGCCAGCAAGGACCCGGACATCAATATAAAGTACAAAGGCTTGTAAGAACTGAGATTGACTTTTTCTGAGTAGATCATGGAGTATCCATCCTAGAAAAATCCCTGGACAAAAAGTTCCAACCTCGTCTGCCAAGGCTGACTTTTTCTCTATGCTTAGGAGTCCGTTTCCATTGCACCCTTTGATATTTACTCTATCAGTGACATACCACTGAACTGTTCTGCCCAACCCTCCCGTATGGTTGGGGCCTTCCTCTGAAGAAAAAAACGTGTTTAAGCTGTCTCAGATCTAGAGATACAATATACCATTAATAATGCATCAGTTTTCTTGGGTTCCTAGACTTCTCTCTAGCTGTCATCTTGGCATCTCTTTACCTACACAACAAAATCCCCCAAAAAGTCATGTAGTGATATCTTGTTTATACACTAACAAATAAAGCTTGCCTGAAGATCAGAGGGTGGAGCTAGCCACCAATCAACCACAGAGGTCTGGAGGTTTGTATAGACAGACAGGAAGTGAAATGGCTGGGCAGAGAGAGGAAGTGATAAGGCAGGAGGAGACAGAAGGTCCATCTCTTTTCAGCTGGGAAGTTGATGAGGTTAAGGTGGCTGTGATTTTGCTCCTTGGTTTCTCTGAACTTTTAGCATTTCCCCCATATCTGACTCCAGGCTTTTATTACTAAGACCTATTTGAACTTGTGTTACAAAGCCACGTTCACTTGGGTTTCTTGATCTTCCATTCCAGAAATGCTGTCTTTTGACTGCCAAAGCACACGCTCATCTAACTTCCTCTCTACAGGACACATCACTAACAACAAGTACCCAAACAGTACCATTAGCTACCGACTGTGCTGTGATTATTTTCCAGTGTCTTTGATATGCTATAGGGTTCTTGTTTTCTTCTCATTCTGTGAATTCTCTCTGTGTCTACCCTTATGCCAACCCCAGAATCCTTATTTCTGGAAAAGCTCCCCAAACACGTATGTATGAAACACACAGTTGGCATTTTCATTTGGCTATCTCAACAAGCATTTCAAAGTTAGTTCAGAACTCAACGTTTTCTTCTCTCCATGCATGCTTGTCTTGTATCTTCAGAACCAGCTTACATCCATTCTGATAGTAAACCTAGAACTCTTGTACAAAATCCAGACTCCAACTCCTCCTCCCTCACTATTTAATTGAAGGCTTAGACTGAACTATTTTCTTTCTTAAAATTTTCTCTGCACCAGCTTTACTTGTCCATTTAAAGCCAGTCACCACCTTCTATGACACAAACCTCTCTTGTAACTGGTCTCCTTTCATTCATACTGGCTACCAACTAGATTTGTTACTGTGTGAAGATGAAAGTTAAGTGTGAAAATCCCACTCCACTGTTCAAGGCCTCTCTGTTGCTTTCTATGTACAGCAGAATGAGGACCCACCATGGAACACAGCACACAAACTCCTGTGACAGTCTGCTTCCACCATTCATGCTCCTTCCTTATGGACTGAGTTCCTGTCATCAAACTGCTGGTACAACTTAAACCAACTAAAGCTACACATATAACATACATACAAAGAAGACCTATGCTATTGCCCCCCTGTAAAATTACAGCTTCTCAAGGCTTCAGTGCTAGTATGGCCCTCCTGATGCAACACGCTCTCCAGTATATACTTTCTGTATTCCTATGTTTTGTTCTATTGGTTGCTTTCTGCTTTTACATAAACCATTAGATCTGTCGCGCACACATATACACACAGTCACACACAGACACCAATTCCCCAAATCTTAATATAGTTTTATATGGATAACAAATATTTAGGACTGGGTCATCTTTGAGTGGGTTTTTTTGTTTTGGTTTGGGTTTGGTCACATTCTTTTACTTGGAGTTTTCTCCATCTCTCTACAAGTTTTTTGTTTTTTTTTTTTTTCTATTTATGCATTTTTTTTCTCTGCCCAGAAAGCCTTCACCATTCTCCTTCAAGGGCCCAGAATTTTTCAGTGAAAGAAAACCGCAAGCTTGTAAGCACATAGACCTGGATTCAAAACTAACCTCAACACTAATTAACTGTGTTTCTTTAGCATACCATAGCCTCAGAAGCTTGAGTTTCTAACACAGTGAAACTGGAGTAGCATTCACCTTGAGGAGCTGTCTGAGGATTCAATGAGATCACACCAAACACTGAGGCAATTACAGTTAGTATTCGTTTTTATCTGGCATCACATCACCTCTCAGGGAAACATTTCTTATTTGTTCTTGGAAGGGTGAGCTACACCCTTACTGGATGCCAAGCCACACTAGTCTCTAACTCAGCTATAGTATATAAAGAACTGGCTTTTGTTGCTGTTTTGGTTTTCCAGACAGGGTTTCTCTATGTAACAGCCCTAGCTGTCCTGGAACTTGCTCTGTAACGATGCTGGTCTCTAATTCACAGAGATCCACTTGCTCCTGCATCCCAAGTGCTGGGATTAAAGGCATGTGCCACCACCGTCCAGCCATGAAACTGTTTTTAAATTCTGTTGCTTGTTTGCTTTAGTTATTTGCATCCTGCATTAGATTTAAACCATCTGTCAACAAAGATTTGTGCTTTGTTTGTTGGAGGTTACTCATTTCCCAGTTCTTCATCTACATTTCCTCGGTTAGAAAGTTGAGAAGGCTGGAGAAAAGCACAGCTGAAGCAACCACTAACAACCACTCAACAACCCTCCTTTAATAGTATCAGTTTCCATCTGGTCACCAAAGAACATCTAGCAATCCAACTCATACATTCCAACAACACATTCTGGTTATAGAATCGAACTACAAATGTTAAAAAGAAAGATGATGAATATTACAAAAGAAATCTTCAATATCCAAAGGAAAGCCTTTATCAATAAACAAATATATTCACACACACAGAGAGAGAGAGAGAGAGAGAGAGAGAGAGAGAGAGAGAGAGAGAGAGAGAGAAAGACAAAACCAACAAAAAGTCCTAAACCCCCCCAGCATTTTCTGAATAGAACTACAAAAGCTTGGTGGAAAAGATAAACATACAAATCAGCAAGGAACTCACTCTTAATTCTTAGAAATAGGCCATGGTTGCAATTAGACTTTACTAAAGACAGGAAACATCTTCATAATCTTTTAGGCTAAATCTCCATAAAAGCCCCTCCCATTCTTTGTGTGTACGCTCCCTGTTTAAAGGGCCCTACTTTGGGTGGAATTTCGTCAGAATCAATTATCCTAATGTTAAGGAAATAAGTTTACATTATCATTGCTAGTTATACCAAACACTCAACAAGTACCTATTTGACAAACTACCGAAACACCGATATTGAAGGGTATTTCGTTCTACTCTGCAGTAACTAACTAACCCACTGGGCTAGAAGTCTTAGGTACCAAGCCACATTCAATGCCGGGAGAGAGACAGTGTCACAAACATTTGTCAATGAATGCCGATCCACGAAGGAGCAATAGTCTTTTCCTAACATTAGCTATTTTAGGAATCCAAAATTTACGTACTTTTTTTTTTTTGAGGCGAGGACAGGAAAGTAAACATACAGATTTAAAAACTCCTTAGTCTTACATAATGCAACTTGGGAGAACGTACATAAAAACATATCCCTGACGAAATCAGGGGGCGGTGTGTTGGCCGCCTCTAACCCCAGGTTCTTTGGCTATTCTCCTACGTCTACTCACCGGACGCCTGGAAGAGCCTTTGTTCATCAGCAGGGGAAACCAAGACTAACCCTGTTCTAGACTGTCCCGGGCAGCGCTCTGCAAAAGCTACGCTTTCCCCCTCTCTTCCTGGTAGAGAGACTGGAGAGCTTCCTGATTGGAGAGATCTGCCCAGTTCGGCCCAAACTCTACCGGTTTGTTTTCCAATGTCACCAGCAAACCAAGAGTTCCCACAGGCGGCGAGGCTGAGGTGACAAGGCCAAGTCAGTCTGGGCAGAGCCCCTTCTTCCAATTAGGGTCTGCGCAGCCCCGCCTTCCTGGGCGCGGGACAGGGGCGCGCCGTTCTCCGCTGCCCGCCCTCCCCCCTTCCCCGCAGCTCCCCGGCCCCGCTCTTCCGAGGGGCTGAGGAGGAGGGCCGAGTACCTGGAGGTTGTTGCCCGTGGACGCCATGGTGGAGATCCGAGGCGGGTCCCTGCGGAGGAACGCGGGGCGAGGACCGCGGCGGCGGCGGCGGCGGCGGCGGCAGCAGCACCGTCGAGTCGCACCCGGGCCACAGCCGCAGGCCTCCGGGTGCTGGTGGCCGAGACCCCGATCGGCTCTGGAGCCGTCAATCTACTAGGAACTCCAGCAGCCGCCGACCCTCGTCCCCAAACTTCCGCAATCCCGAGCCCCTTTGGGCTCTGGTCCCGCCTCGGGCCCGGCACTTCCGCTTCGTCATCCGCACGCGCGCTCGCGCGCGCGCTAACCTGTCACCCAGGAGGCGGCTCGCCACAGGTGAGCTCTCGCGAGAGGAGAACGGGAAGCCCCGCTGCCCACCCAGGCCTGGCGGAAGTCAGGCTGGACGCCAGCTCATTGCGAATTCCGTCTGGCAGGGCGGGGCGGCTTGCTGGGTTAAGGGTAAAGCAGTCACGGGAGTGTGAAACTTCTGAATATTCTTTTCCCCCTCTTTGCTCTTCGTTCATGTGTACGGTCGCTCATTTGGCTTTGTAGGAAAATAAAAAGTTACGTAGTTCCTAAAGCCCTTGGCTTGGGGACGTTGGACTTGTTTTTGTTCCGGGTCCCTCAGTTTCCTAGTCCGTGATGTGTGACAGTCACGTCCGTCCTCCTGGAAGGTGCTGCGTCCTAGTCAGAGGACCGCAATGGGCGACCAGTACGACCTCAGGCATCCTAGCTATGGCCCGCTCCTTCTGCTCGGGGGAGCTTGGCAGGGATTTCTGTAAACACGTCACAGGCAGCCACGGCCCTGCTGCCGGCGAGAGGCAGTCCGCCCAAACTCGTCTTGCAGAACGAGTAGATAAAATACCAATTACAATGTACAAAAGGAAGTCATTGGCTCCAGGGCAAGTGCTTCAGTTACGTTGGGCATATCAGGGTTAGTGGCAGAAATGAAATATTTCTTTTTCCCAGTCCACTGCACAATCCCCGTCTTCTTCGGTTTCTTAGAGGAGAACAGAATAGGTTTTTAATCGCTCCATAATTTTATTTCCTATGTATACGCTTACCCCTATCGTATCCTAAGTACTGGCTTTCTGCCTTTAATAGTCTGGTCAACCACCCTTGAAGTTGTGCGATGTAGTTCTGTAATACCCCTCTGCATTTTCCGCTGGCGTCTCTTCACCCTCTAGTTACAGGATTTTCTCAAGTCACATCTCCTTGCTTCACTGTCTCCACTCGTCTGCCTACTTAAGGCGTCTAGAGACAGAAATGACTTCAAATCAAGACTTTGAAGCCCACGGCTGTCCTCTACCTTGCGTTTGCTATGTCCTTTCCAAGGTCCATTCACGGGGTTTTACTTGCTGCAAGACAAATTCAACACCTTGAAAGCCAAATTAGTTGTCTTCCACCACAAATTTCCTTCTGTGGTTTCTCTTTGGCATCACCAAACCTGCAGCATTCAGGCTCAAGACTCTACCCCACCCTCTGCCCTGCAACACAGTCCTGACTTCTCAAACTCTCCTTTCCCAATAAAGTACAATAGGAACCCATCCTTAGAATGCAGGGAATTTGGTAATTAGTAAGCCGTTTAATTGCTTAAAATCAGTTACCGGTTCCCAGTGATTGTCAAATAAACCTGACTTCCTGAAAATATGACCAGACTCTTAACTTACCTTTCAATTCCATCCCTCAAAAATTTCCCTTTTGTGTGCCGACGCTGGTTGAATCCAAGAGGCCTTGGCGGTGAAAGTGCCCTCCATAAACGAGTTGTACCCCCAACCCTTCAGCCCTAAACACTTAGTGGAACTAACTACAGATGCTCACTAGGCATCAACACACTGGAGATGTATCTTCTTGCTACTTAGAGTCTGAACATCAGTGGAAGAGAGAAGAGTTTAGAGAGAAGCCTTGATGAGATGTATTGAATATCACCATGAGCCAGACTGTTCCAGAGACTGGATATCAACACAATGTTCTCTCCATGTGCAGTGAGGAAGGCACATTTTCTCCATGGTATTATCCCTCCACATCTATAACCCCAGCCAATTATGAGGAAAAAAAAGAAAGTATTTACAGAGTGTTCCTGCTTCTGTAAAATAAACAGAACTCTGTAAAAAAAATCAAGGTTATAAAGACGGGACACCCGAGACGTTGTCCTAGATTGAAGACTATAAGACATGTCAACTAAATGTGTGGGATTCTTGATTGAATTCTGTTGCAGAAAAAGGACATTAGTGAAAACTGACAAAAGTGAGGGAGAAAATGTGTAGCTCAGCTAATGTATTGTGTATTACCATCTTAGTTATTTAAGATGCTGGGTAACAAGTATATTGGAATTCTCTGTATTTGCAACTCTTCTGCAAACATTTCAAAGTAAGTTTTACTTTCTGAAACTACTGCTATCTGGTCCTTACATCCTAGCACAATAAAAACTGCCTATTGTGTATATAAAATGTAAATGGAGCCTTCACTCCTACTGACTAGTGGTCATGGTACTGGAAGGTACTCTACATTACCAGAGGAGAAAAGTGACCATCAACACAGCCTCAAACCCTGGGATCTACCACCTTGACCTGCCTGCCAATATGCTGGTACAATACTTGAACAGATGTGGGAATAACCAACCACTCTCTGATTGGATTTAAGACCCCCTCCACAAGATGGAACCCAAGCTTGACACTGCTTGGGAGCCTATGAAGTTTAGTCTGGATAATCCATGAGCTTAGGAGGAAACCAAATAGTGTTGTTTTGATAAAGGAATACCACAACAGAATGACTCCTAACGACATTCTGCTATACCCATAGATCATTACTTCATTCACCCATCATCAGAAGCTTCCCCTTGTGGTAGATGGTAGCTAACACAGAGACCCTCAACTGAACAGTGCGCAGAGTGAGTGACCTTGGAATACTCGGTCTTAAAAAGAATGTCTCCATCACACTCTCCAGTCAGGACTCAAGAGAAGGAAAGACTTCAAGAGCCAGAAGAGTTAGATGACACTAAGGAAACAAAACTTTCCAGACACAAGGAGACTGATACACATAAAAACTCAGACTGGCGGTATGGACAGGTATGGGGATATATTATTTATGATTTATTAAAGCTTGCCTGAGGATTCAGAAAGCAAGAAGCCATAGAAGCCAGGCACACACCTTTAATTCCAGCAGCCAGAAGCCGGGAGGTGGTGGCACACATCTCTAATCCTAGGACACAGGATTAAGTGGTAGACAGATCTCTCCGAGGTCAAGGCCACCCAGGGATACACGAGATAGAATCAGCCTAAAAGAGTAACAGATCATACACCTTTAATCCCAGCACTGGTGGTATAAAAGATGGAGGCAGGTTCTTCAGTGTTGAGTAGGAGCATTGATTCTCAAGCCACACTGAAGATAGGAAGGTTCAGTATCCAGGAGGATAGGAAGACATTGAAGTCTGAGAATTCTTCAGCCATGCTAGGGAGAGGCAGCAGTTTGAGGCTTAGTGAAGAGCTCATGTGTGGATCAACCTGAGCTTGAGGTGAGAGTAGTGGCCAGCTGCTTTGCTTCCCTAATCTTCAGGTTGAACCCCAATATCTATCTCTGGGTCTTTTTCCTGTTACATATTGACACCCAATGTGGGGGCACTAACCCATGACCCTGAGATTAAGAGTCTCATGCTCTACTGACCTGAACTAGCTGGGTTGAACACCTCCCCCCAAAAAAATTTACCAAGAAAAATGATCTGACCTAATGGGATCTCTGGTGTCTCCTAAATGAAGATTGAACCCAAGCTGGGTGGAGATCACACACACTTTTATTACTGCCACTTGGGAGGCAGACACAGATCTCAGTGAGTTTGAGGGCAACCTGGTCTACAAAGCGAGTTTCAAGACAGCCAGGACTGTTAACACAGAAAAACCCTATCAAAGAAGAAGGAATCCCACAACAGTTTCACCAGGACTATGATAACACCATTAAACTGAACAGTAACAACTAAGGATCAGTTTTGGACTACAAACTGCTCAAAACAATTTCGAGGAAGCCAACTGAGATGATCCAGTCTCACAGACACTGCTCAGAACAATTTCAACGAGGCTAGCTGAGATGATTCACCCTCACAGACTACTCTAGCCAGGACTTGAGACAAGTCCTGCACTTTGACACCTTGCAGAGACTGGATAAAAATGATACAGCTTGACAATTAAACCAAAGTTTTCTTTTCAGGACCCCCTAAAGATGCTGTCACCCACAGACAGCAGTAAGTAACTTTAAGAAAAAGAGGCCCACATTCCCAAGAGGTGGGGTGGGTGGTTTCTGGTCACTCATTGTGTTATGGATATTTGTCATTGTTTAACGAGATTGGTTACAAAATGCTGTTGGTTACAGTCAGGAAGAAAGTTGAACAAAGGGGATTGAATTCAAAGTTTTTGTTTTGGAAAAAAAAGGAATACAGAAAAAAAGATAAAAGGGTAGATTATTGAATCTACTCTTGAAAAGAAAAAAGGGAGGATATAGATAACATAAAAAGATAGATTATTGAATCTACTTTTAAAAAGAAGTTACTAGTTTTACATTGGGTTGAACTTTTGTATATTGTATACAAATATTGTACATTGATGCAAATTTGAAATTAATTGGTTAAAACATATGTTTCTAATATTATTCAAGGTATATGTACCTATACAATCCATTTATCAAATTTCTAGTCCTTGAAAGTCAATATTACCAACTATGGGATAATAAGGAAATGTAAGTGAGTAATTAGTCACCTATTACAGTCCAGCTTGTAATCACATTAGGTAATAGCTTCAAGGTCAAGCAGATATATATCTTAGAAAGACAGGTCATCTTCAAACACTTCAGAGATCTAGAGAATTTGGCATTTAAAATGTTTTAATGGCATAGGTTTTTTAAAATGACAATGAGACATGTTTGCTCTTGGCAGCACCAATTTCCTTCAGAGAAGATGATGGGCATCAAAGAAACTCACATGAAATTTACTTTCTTTGTGGCAAAGGTAAGTCATGGGGCAAGAACGTGCCCTTGCCTCGACTGCTGACAGCATGCTGTCCAAAATGGACAAACAGGACACAAAGCAGGACAGTCCTTCAGAAAATCCTGCTTCACAGAGAAGTCTTCCAGAGATGGTATGCCTATAGGCCAAAGGTGGATGCCTTCATGTTGCAAAGGAACTTGGGTGACTGTCCAGGGAGTCAGCTGTCTCTGTCATTTCTCACGCTTTTTGGAAGGTGCTTGCTTGCACTTCCTGTTTACTCAGTTAATAATATTTCCTTCT